ACATATTGGACTCCAGTGAGGGTCGTCCTTCAACCCAAGGAAGTTGTACGATGTAGCGGCCAGTCGAGTCTCTTGTCACAGTATCCTCAAAGAACTCTACCACTTGCTCGTCCTTTTCTCCCTTCTCCAGTTTCACACTTGGGTCTGTGATTCCCATCGTCTCAAGCTCCCAAAACTGCTTAACATTCTGTGAGGACTGTAAAGCAATAAACATAGATGAGACAAAAGATTAATCTCTACCAGATGATTCAGATGAACCAACAATCGTCCAGCCCAATCGTGTTTTTATGGCCACAAGTTGGTCATTTACTTTGTGAAACTCCGAAGTGATAATTTGTGACCAAACATCAGCACCCAATAACACATCAATACTAGCACAGTCTTCTTCGTCAGAGGTCGATATATCGCTCAAAATGATGTTATCTTGCTCCAAACGTTTTATCAAACTGTAGTCACAAAACTTGGGAATCCGGTTACAAATAACTTGTTGTTCTATAACTTGTAAATCTGTTTTAAAATCCAAGTTTAGTGAACTCAAAGTGATGCCATAAGTTTTATGGTATTTAGGTCCAGTTTGCTTACCTCCAAAAACTTCTTGTTGAATTAAAACTCTATCATTGCTTTTGAGGCCTAATTCTGATACACATTGGCTAGAAACAAAACTCTTTTGTGAACCTGAGTCGCACAAGATTCTAACCTTTTTTGATTTCCCATTACAATCAATAAAAGCATTCAAAGTCTGTAAGTAAGTAGTTTTGCTTTTATTGTTTACAGTAGAAAACGAATTTGTTGTATTTTTAACAGGGGTTATAGGCTTGTCCTTAGCACTCGGCTCAGCTTCATTAGTCGATTAGTCGCATGGACTTTTGGACACAAGATTGCAAAGTGTCCACCCAAGCAGATGTGACATTTCACTTGTAATTTACACTTCTGAGCCCAGTGCCCCTTTTTCAAACACTTTATACATGCACCCTTTTTCTTTACAAGTTCATTTCTTTCTGGTACTGTTTTATCGAAGATAGAAAAACAATCAGGCGAGTTATGGTTTGTTTTTCCACAAAATATGCAAAGATTTCTTCTTAAGTTGGTATTTAAATCTGTACCTACCTTTGCACTATTTTCAGATTGAGAAACAAGTATTGCTGCTGAAGGTGTGCTAGCCTTAGGTTTACCAAACCGCTGAGTTTTGATTGAGTATTTTTTAAGATCCACCTCGCGAGACTTCACGCCAAAACAGTTTTCACGCAACTTGAGCCTCTCCTCAGCTTCAACTTCGGTTCTTAGAAACTGAAGGAGTTCTTTCAAACAGTTATCTGGCTCTGTTGTGGATGCATTCTTATTAACACGATACCTTTCCCATATTTTAAAAATAGGTTCAGGTATGGCTGTTTCAACGAGAGGGAATAGCATGGCAGCATATTTCTCTTTGGTTACTCCCAATGATTCGAGAGCTCTTAGCTGTACTTCAAGCCTGTCATAAAGGCATGTGATTGACAAGTTATCAGTCTTATTTAAAACTAGAGCTAAAAGTTCCCTGACATAGTATTCAATAAGGAATTCTTCTTTTCCATATCTAGATTTAAGGAGCTCAACTGCTTTTAAATAGTTTTCTTTTGACGGAGGAAAACCTTCAATTAGTTTTTGAGCTGAGGAGCCTGGCTTCACAGATTGTAGTAAGTAATCAAACTTATCCTCATCTCCTAAACTATTATCATCATGGATTTTACTGAACTGAGACCAGAATCCTATCCAATTTTTAAGTTCACCATCAAATCTTTTAAGTTCTATTTTTGGAAGGCGCCTTTTATTGGAATAGGTTTTATTTGATTCACTACCAGGGTTAGCAACTAACTGCAGTTCTTGAATTTTCAAGCTTAATTGATGGTATTTAGTTGCATACTCATTAGTCCCTATAATTTCTGACTCAATTTCATCCTCTGTTACCTCCTCTTCACTAATTAGACTTTGCAAAACTACATCATTTAAAGAGCAAAGCTTTTCATAAGTTGTATTTAATACATTAAACCTGGCAACAATAGTTCTTAAATCTTCATTTTGGCTCAATAGGTTTTCAATAGCAATTACCTCTTTAGTAAAGACTGACCTGTAAGCTCTTCTTTGAAGTTCAGTCATTTTTATAATAAATCAAAAGTATATTACCTGTACAATGATGAATATATACTTCAAAATAATAACTCAAAACTATCTTGGCTCAGGGTCACCATTAAATGTAACAAAACTCTTAAATTAAACTGATTTTCTACAAAAATTAAAATAAACCAGTTTTAAAAAGTTACATTTTTTGTTTATTATATTTCTACAAAACAATTATAACATTATTTAGACATATGCAAATTAATAACATGTGTTTCTCAAAGTGTTGATAAAAAATAATCCAAAGGGGACTAAGTTAAAAAGTTAAACATTTCCAACAGTATGTCTTACACACTGATAAAGGGTTCAAGGGGTGAAACTTAAGTTGTTAATTGATGTCTTGGAGTTTGTCATGAAGTAGTTAAGTGTCAAATTTTTCTCCGAAGATGATCAGTTATATTTGAATGTTTTGATGGAATCTTCCCACGTATGAGCAGATGTTTTTATAAACAGAAACGTCTTTTGTATTTTGATTGTACCCAATCTTGGTCAGTATTTGTAATTTAATATATAATTCAACGAATATGTGAAGGATATTTTACCTAACCTTACTGTGTATAAAGTAAGAATAGAGAACAAACATATGACAACCCATTGGAACATTCATATACTGTAGGGTATATTAAATCAGATAAATTTGGAGTTAGCATGTTACGTTTTAAATGAGGATTGTCTAATCAATCACAGTTTAAAACCCCCTTTGAAATTGAGTATGAAATACGTCTTATTATATCACAAGATCCTATAATGTTCTAAGTTCCAAAAGGTAACTATTGTTTTGTTACTCATCATCACTGAAACGTCTACCTTTAGGCTTAAACAATTGACAATGCAACTTACCGATACATAAATAACCGTCCACTAGCTTAGAACAAAAACTGAGCTTTACTAAGACTGTTGGACATTTACTTGTCAGAATTGTTACCAAGGTAAAATACAAATGATGATCAAATAGGCGTACAATAAAACTCAGGATTTAATATTAACTTAAAAGTTAAAAATCACAACGTAAATGAAAACAGAAGTAATATTGATTGGTTTTTGTCACAATGTTTACTTAGTATTGTTACGAATAATGTTGTGTATATCATTAGTACGTATATTTATATAAATACATGCCTATCAGAAGTGGAAAATAATATAAAGTGCATAAAATATAGGTTTTTGGATTACCCTGTATTTTGATACGATGACAATTTTTAAATGTTTTCCTCATAATATAAGGTTTGGGACATGGCCTAACTTGAAGACTCAAGCTCACACCATTCTCTCGTTATGAGCGAAATGGTCGTTTAGTTCTCACAAGAATTTTGTTTATTACCATAAGAATAAATACACTCTGTTAGATATACACAGTATAAGGTCCCAACCATCAGAATCAGTCCTACCAGAAGTGATTGGTCTGATGTTTGGGAGTTTTGCCGACATTTTGGGTATTTTATGGATAATACTTCATGAAGTGCAGAAGAGAGGAGTGTGTGTGGCTCGATTTTTTTTGGCAAGTTAAGTCTGTAATTCGTGTATACTCAATGGTCTAGCTTGAAAACTCTTGTGTTCGGGAACAATTTACTATTGCTGCCAGGTATCAGTCGCTACAAAGCAACATATTATACACGACACTTATTACATTATTACTATATCTCGGTAGCTTCATAGTCCTCCATTTATGTTACTTATTTCTTTAAATTTCGAGTCTACTGTGGTAGGCAATCTCAGGACAATTCTTCTATAATATCCTATATATTGTTGAATGTTATTTATTTTGAAGATGTCCTCCTGGATTGGAATAGCTGCTAAACCATCACTTAAACAGAAAGAGAGAAACAAAACTGTACATACATATTGAAGTTATTATTTATGACAGTTTCAAGTAGTTAACGTAGATTTTTAAGGCTTGGGTGACGACCCAACGAGGATTTGGCCAATAGTATTCAACATAAGCTTATGTCGAGTTTCGTAACAAATTAAAAGTTTATTATTTCATTATAATTTAATGCCGCAAATCCGACTTTGAAAGACTGCCCCTGTTTTGAAAAAGAAGTGTTTTAAATGTATGAAGATGTTTAAAATATGGCAATTTTAGGTATTGCTCAAAATATATGACCAATAATTATATATGATAATTAATTATTGAGTACTTTACCCAGCATTAAAAACTTCCATGCTATTAAGCAAAATGTATGTTGATTAAAGCTTATTGTATTAACAAACGATTTGGTTTTCCTTTTGTCCACTATACCTATTATGTACTCCTATCCGTAGTAATGGGGAGGGAGCTGGTGTAGTGGTTAGAGCGCGGGACTTCGGTCAACTATACGCGTAGGTACAACTAGACGTAGGGACAACTAGACGTAGGTACAACCGGTCCTATCCGTACAAGCTAGGTGACACTACTTGTCGGGGGCATACATGTCTGACGTTAATCAGGTAAGTCTAGTTGTACCAACGTCTAGTTGTACCTACGTCTAGTTGTACCTACGTCTAGTTGTACCTACGTCTAGTTGTACCTACGTCTAGTTGTACCTACGTCTAGTTGTACCTACGTCTAGTTGTACCTACGTCTAGTTGTACCTACGTCTTGTACCTCTTAAAAATCTGCAGGTATAACTTGTCGGGTATGCCACCGTCTACTTGTACCTACGTCTAGTTGTACCTACGACTAGTTGTCCCTAGGTCTATGAGGTACAACTAGACGGCGGTACGAGACGCGGTCCCCTTAATTACTGTGATGATGATGATCATTAATTTCTTGAATGACTCAAAAGAGGATAGTAATAGAAGGACATAAACGGAAGCTTGAAAACACATTGAATACACCAAAAACACTTACATTCAATTTTTTTAAAATCTATTTTTTATTTTGTAGTTACTAATGATTAGTTAAACATATCTTTTAAACCAACAAATTGTTGGAGACCCCTATAAGATTGTTTAATTTATGTTTATATATTTCGGTATGGCTACAATTCCCTCTAAAATAGGTTGTACTTTTTTATCTTTTGAATTGATCTTTCCTGATTCCAATACCTCTAAACGATTTCTTTTATGGTCTTGAATATTTGATGACTTTAAACCACTTAGAGGTGAATTCGTTTTTACAATCTTGTCTGTTAGGGAGATTTCACTAGAATAGTTATCAATAGTTCTGATGCCCATTTCAGGTAACTGGGATGAATCATGGGGCCCTATCTTTATAATTGAGGGAGTGATAATAGTATTTTTGGGTCTGAGATTCTTCAATATTTCTTTTCCTGCATTAGTTTTCTTATCAATATCATCAGGTAACGTATCAATGTCAACTGTGCGTTCTCTTAGTCTTGTAAGTGATAAGAATTGTGCTGGTAATTTTATTACTGAATACCCAGATGGTTTTGCTGAATCTAAAGGACCATGCACTGGTTGGGGTTCAGAACCGGGTAATATTATTTGAGACAATGTAGGTCTTAACGGTCTCACTATTGAAAAAGATGATGGCTTAGCATCCATAACTTTACTTGTATGTTGTTTTTCAACATTTAATGTATCCTTTAATTTATCATTTATATTCAAATAGTCTTTTCCTGAAGTTCTATCAAACAGAGTTGAAATATTTTTTGAAGGAGGTTTTGTTTCATCACTTGTTCCTAATTGTTCTTCTCCACCTTCTATTATGATCTGCTTCCCATCTTTATGAAAAGCTTCTTGGACACTTCCACCCCTAAAAGTAGTATTAACTATTGTATCCTTCTCCTTAGCACCCTTATTTATGAAAAGTCCCTTTGAAGTTCCATGAAAAGGTGAAATATTTTCGGATGGGAACTCAGTTTCATCAGTAACTGTTGATATATTGTCTTCTCTACTTTCATTTTTAACAATTGTTCCTTCTTTCTGAATCTTTCTACCACTATATGGTGAAACAGGTAAGACAAATAACTGAGCTGAATCTCTATCGGGGTAGGAATTTTTGGAATCTCTGTCAAATTCTTTGGCCTGGTCAGATTCAATAGAAGGTCTTCTACGAAGAGCATCCACTGGAAACAAACAAAAACCAATACCCATGTGTCATTAGCAGGCATTAGAAAAGTAACACAAATACAAAAAATATGAATTTTTAAAATTGGTGTATAGAATCGGTGTATATAAAATCTCTATAGGTATGTACATGTTTTTTGAATTTGTTTTAGGTTACAACAATTATAGAACATGTATTTGAATCTAAAGTGAAGTAAGTATGGTTTTACCAAATTTCATTGTAATCGGATAATTTTTATTTGAGTTATCATATCAGAACAAACAAAAATCGGTCCTGGGTCTAGTCTAGGCCTTATCATGAGATTTACAGTAGTTTAATAGCTTATTCCCTATAAAGCGAATTCACTAATACTGTATTCCGCATATGGGAAATTTGTTAAAAGAAGTATTCTATTTTTCTTTATCTTTAATTCAGATATATTCATACATGTTTGTATAGAATGTTTTGAAATTTTAGATTGCAGTATAATTTTTTTTACTAGGTTCAGGCAAAGGGTTATTGGTGTTATAATCCTTTTTAGTGCAGGCCCGACTTTAGGGTGAGTAGCGCCCTGGGCTGCAAGCACCTTTGAGTTTTGTGGCCCTCCCCCAGGATAAAAAAAATGTTAAATAGCTGACTTAAAATCCTATTCGGAGGTGACTGATTAAAATGCATGTTGTTTTATACTTTTTTGGAAAATTTGGCACCCAAACAATTTGGAGCACTGGGCTCAGTCTGTTGCATTTACGAAATGGCACCTGTACTGGAGTTTTATGTGGGACTTATTTACATATTGCCATTATTTATAAAGGTTTTTGTAAGTAACCCTGACAAAAATTTGTTAAATTCTTACATTCTTACACTTGCAACAAAGTTTTGGTTGTTCATTATTAACAAATGTTTGCCGTAACAACATGATGTCTTTGCGGCAAGATATGTTCCTAATCTTTTCAAGATCGCAGGATATGATTATAATGTCTCCGTAACCATGGGGAAATGTAGAGATATTGCCATGACCACAAAGGGTGACGATGATGTCTTCGCCTCAGCGGGAGAATGTCATATTGCCACGATCATGAGAGTTGATCAGGTCTTCACGACCGGGGTGGGGAGGGGGATGATGTAGAGATATACTCGCGTTCATGGTAGGGGACGATGATGTCTTTCCGACCACAGGGGAACATAGATATTGATTTGATATCGGGTGACAATGATGATGTCTTTAAAGTTGTGGGGGTGAAAGATGGTCTCAATTTGGCCTCAATCGATGGAAAAGTTAAAACTTTTTCTGCGATAGCAATCCAGATAGGGCCCTGATCGCAGATTATTGTTGTGACAACATTATCAGAAGGGGATATAATTGACAGCAGTCTCAGAGAAGACGTATAAATAGGAGGAAAATAGCTATTTTTTTATGCCTCAGCGGCTACCTGATCTTGCACTTAACCGTTTGTGGCTATTACACCATTTCTGGTTCGGGTGAGGAGACCCTCCCTAATTCTCTTTATTAAGCATGGCTATTTCATCATTTCGAAAAATACCAAAATATCGAGACTATTTCATCATTCCAAAAATATTGTGTACCTATTAAAAAATTAATGTTTCTAATTAACAATTTGTATTAAAAGTTAACTATGTAATTTTCTTTTAATTTAGAAAACTTTAGAAATGTTATATTGTTTTTGTAATGTAGCAGGTGGCTAAGTTAAATAGGGGTGTGTGAAGGGGAAGTAGGGCTGATGCGCTGATATAGGGGTATAATTCCAGGAGGGTACAATACCAGTGTGTACAATTCCAAGCTGTAGGCCTACATCTCTCTTTTAATTTCTAAGATAATCATCTAGGTCACTGGTATCTTGCCTATTTTAAATGAATTAGATTTTGTTATAAGCCAAGTGGTCGGGCAGGAATTGTACTATGTGTGACGTCAAAATGACGGTGTTGCTCGATGGGGGGTACAATTCTGGCAACCCATTTTGTTAATTAAGCTCAATTCCATAAGATTAAAGGGAACACCCAAATTAAACAGATGTATTATATAACTGTATAACCATCAGGTAATGCATCTCACTTCCTCAAGAAATATAAATGTAAATTTTAAAATTTGCTAGTGTAGTAAAAAAGCATTTTACTTTAATGGTATTTTGCTGAAATGCCACAGAATACGTTAAATGTTTCCATCGGATTCTCAGTGGCCCATAAACATACATTGTGACCTTCCCTGAAGTATGAAAAGTTGTTACAAAGCTAAACACAAATTTTGAAACTAAAAATTCCCCTCTTTCTACTGAGAGTTTGAAACGAGTTTCAGTATTGTGTTGATATTCCTCGAGTTTCAGGAAGGGGAAATATATAACGTTTTTTGTTTGTGGTTTTGAAAAATTGTGGGTTTTTATCACTCCATAATTTTAACATTTTTATATGAAGATTAATAATTGGACGTTTTAAAGGGGTGGCATACTCCATGTAATTATAGCCTTACAAAACTAAAACATAAGATTTTTTTACCTCTTTTTTTAAACTCTGCAAGTCTCTCTTCTGTGGTCATCACTCTCAAGTCTCGCCCCAAGGTGTCCTGAAGAACACCTCGAGATCTTGCCATTGTCAGGAGACATCTTTCATTCCTAAATCCTTCCATATCCTCAACTTCACCATCATCTTCAAAATAAAAACAAAACTTTAAGAAATAGGAACATTCTAAAACAACATCTCAATCAACAGTCTTTTTTAGAGTTCTGGTGGATACTACTTAAATTGATATTACAAGCTTTCTGGCGTGGGACTGGTCTGATCGCCTATTATTTGTCATCCTGCTGATTAAAAGCATCTCCCTTAACATTTTATTTATTTATTTATTTATTTTTTTTTTCACTTTGATGATGAGAGGAAGTCTCCTTAGTAGCACACCCAAGTAGCACACATCGGTCGGCACGGTTGGGAAATGGTTGGCGGAAATTTTAACGATTTGCCAACGTTGGCAAAACGGAAACTTGTATTCGTTGGCCCTACAAAGGAAAGAATCGTTGGGCCTTCGTTGGGTTTAAGTATAAAACATTCTTAAACACATTTTAACAAATTGGTTTATTTAAAAGAACATAAACGTTATGTTATAAATAAAACCAATTTTATTTACGATCGAGGATCGACGAATGTTATTTTACGTAGTATAATATCACATCCTTTATCTGTGAAATGAGCAAAAACCAAGGGGGAGAGAGTTTAGAAAGAGGGCAGCAAAAAACTGTTGGACAGTAAAACAGTGTTACAAAAAGGTTCCTAAAATAAGTAGTTTTCACGGTCATTGAAACGCATTTGAACCTAATGATTATGTGTACAGAAAGTGATGTAACCCTAAAAATGAACTTTGATGATGTTATTAACGAATTTGCAAAAAACTAATTTTTTTAACCAGTCATTTCAAGGTGTTGAAACTGTTGACTGTTTATAGAGTTTAAATGTTTGCAATTACATCTTAAATAATAAATTAAAACAATGTTTTTAGCTCAAACATTTTCACAACTAAGCCCATTTTACTTGACCGCAGCCTTGTATATATATAAGTGTGTATGTAAGTAAAAGTCAAACTTATTTTACCTACGACCGTATAAAGTAGCCGTTTTAGTTCAGTTCTTAGAATGGAAAAGTTTCTCATAACAGCATTGTTTACTTTTATAACAGCATAGTTTTTCATAACAACATGGGTAACGGACCAATGCGGTTCAAGGATTGAGAGAGAAGAAGTAAAATGTATACTTCAAACGTCAACTAATCAGCTGTTTAGACCAATTTAATTGTTGATGAGTGGTGCAATGCAATAATGCAATTAGTGCTTGGATTAGTTGCATTGCTGTCAGTGGCATTGGGGTTATTCATTAAAATACTCGTAGTTCATCAGATGGGTAAAAAGTGTCTTTTCAACCCTCGCTCATTTTCCACCCATAGCTTTGCCTCGGTGGTGAAACAATTGAGCTAGGGATGAAATATACTATTAACTGTTTATCTATTTGTAAAAAACAGAGAATTTTTAAGGTAACCTTAAAAATATTCAAATTTATTAAATCAACAAATTGTAAATAAATTGTGAAAAACATATTAAGTAAAAACATCTTAATATCCTAAAATAGCATACCATTTTCAACCTCACATTCACATGAGCTATTGGTGTGGCTGCAGACTTTGCATAGCTTCTGGTTTTGAGCCTTTAATAAATCTTCTGGTGCTAGTTTTTGTGATCTCTTTGTAATTTGAGGTTCTGCTATGGAAACCTTGTTTATTTTGTCAAGTAACAATGAACCACTGCTCAATGAAACATCCTGTTGAGGCTGCTTAGAAGCAATAGCAAGCCCTCCAGCTGTAAAAAATATTACTATCAGTTCTTACAATTATTGTAGCCAGCATTACTATAGCGCCTAGGCAAGTTAACTTCGTAGAATGTTAAAGTTTGGTCTGGATTTTGTAAACAAAGCGCTTTTCGTTTATTGACTATGGTTGCAGCAGAAGATGAATTAATACCAGGTGCTTTTTTTTTACACAATCCAATTACAAGCACCGTGAGTTACTGTTTTAGTACAAAACCACATGTATATTGGTAACCCTGTTTTCCTTACATCATTGCTGATCCGGTGATATGCATTGTTGCATAGCTATTGGGTTTAATGTATTTTGGGAATTTATTGTACCTATTGTAAATAAAACCCAAAATGGTGTCCTCTCATAAGCTTAAAGAGTAGGTATTGTAAAAAATAAGTGAAGATAATTAATCATTGATTTTATGCTTAGAAGGTTTTTAATAGTTAAGTTTTCCCGTGTTATACCAGTGCAACAGATCAACTATTTATTGACTTGCCAAACATTTTAAGGATACTGGATCTTTAGAAAACAAATAAAAACGAACACCTACAATACATACTCTATTTGAACTTGTAAAAACACCATTATATGTTGAGTATTATTTAGAATAAATTTCCAATAACACTAAACCTTGAAGATAACTATGCAACAATGCATATATTTGGCAATGAAGTCAAGAAAACAGGGATACAAACATTTAAACTTGCTTTGTCACTAAACAGTGTCTCACAGTGCTTTTAAATTTGGGTTTCCTTAAAAAAACATCCTGAATATTGTATTTTTTAGGTTTTAACATACAAAACTTTTTTGAATAATATTATTCTTAAAATATTAAAAATTTTTCAACAGGTTAAAATTGTTTTAGTATGCAATTTTGTAATTGTTGTGTGGCTTTAAAATATGGATGGGGGAAATTTTGAAATATAAAGAAAGTTTGTGGCCTCTTTTTTTCTTGATAGGTGAACTACAACTTGAAATGGGATTCAAAAACTATTAGGTTACATCACATACCAGGTTACCAGATCCAATTGGTAAATGCTATTGGTGATTGGATGTATTTGAACTTGAGACAGAAGTCTTGCACTCTAATCACAGTCAACAAGCTGCGCCCCTCCACGTTTTAATTTTAATGAATGAAATTCTCAAATGAACAAAGGGATGTACTATTATACATCAGTACAAGTATGGCAAATCCTTAATTGCAGATGTCATTAAATAGTTGCAGATAAATTTAGATTTCAACTGGGTGTACAATATTTCATAGTCAGTGTAGGTGAAATATTGTTACATGTAGCAAGAAAACAGTTCAGTATCTTTTTTTATGATACCCAATTTTAAGTCAGCGAGAGTCGCTCCTGCCATTTTATGTAGCTGTAAGAAATATGATTTTACTATCATATTATTCATATGTATATACACACTTTTTAAATACCTAATATCCTTCAAGTGAGTTCTCATGGTCATTTTCTAGCTAAAGATATCAATTGTTTTACATGAACACAATGTTGTGTGGGTGATCTTTTACCATATGTATAAAATTATAGACCTCTATACCATACCGTAAAAATTAACCTAGTCAAATTGAACCACCAACAGAGTGCATTGAATAATACTTAACACTGTTAAACTGTTGAATACGCAAACTTCTAAACCAATCAAAACTGAAAGGACAATTTATTTTATATACAGGGTGTAAATAAAGTCCCGCACAGGTTTAATATGTTCTGAACGATAACAGATAAATAAATAATATTTGATGCATCAACATGACACCTAAATATCTACCTTTTGAAAGAACTATCAGTTTTCTGTCATATCATGGGCACCTCCTCGCAAGGAGTCAGGAGGAAATCTTAAATAGGAGCATAAGTTGATGTGTACGTCAAATTAAAGGCGTTTACTTGCAGAATACAATGCCCCAAATTTGATCTCAAGCGGACAACCGAGTAATTTATGACAGTAGTTCAAAGATTCAAATAAATGGCATATACAATAAAACTGTGAACGGCTGCCATTCCTGACTTGGTTGTCTGTTTGAGTTCGCATGTACGGCATTGTATTCTACTAGTAATCAACCTATGCTCCTATTTAAGATTTCCTTCTGACTTCCTTGTCTCCATGATATGACAGAACACTGGTAGTTCCTTCAAAAAGTAGATTTTTAGACTTTGTCTTGATGTACCAAATCTCATTGATTCATCTGTTATCATTCAGAACATATTAAACTGTGCAGGTTATCAGTTGTTAAAGCCACACAATATAAATTTGTAAAAAGAATTTCAGACAGTAGCACACTCTGTGAGTTAATTATTTAACTATTTTCAAATAAAAAAATACTATTTTAATAACTCATTATTCTATGTTTAGTAACAAATTGGCTCAGCTGGTCTATATAGATTGGATGTCTACTTCAGTATCCAGAAGTCAATGGTATGATGTTCAAATATGCTGTTACTGTTATTAGAAGTTTTAGTTTTGTGAGTTTATTTCATTTACCATTCGCACACTTGAGGTTGAGGGGGTCTGGCATCACAAACAAATTGCAGCCTACTTGAAACTTGGGCAATGTTGAAAAATTTGTATTTTTGTGGTTGCGATATTTGGTATCTTGCAATTCAAAATGTTTAGTGACGTGTTTTTTTTTTGTTTTTTTTTATAGGGATAAAACAATTAAATCATGGTTACACTGATTTCTGACAAATAAGCCAAACTGAAAGACCAAACTTTACTGATCAATACCATACCCATGCATTTACAGTACAATCATATTAATGGTAACACACAAAAATAAACTGAACAGTACCGTACTGACTTTGTGACGCCTCATTGGACTAACATCTATTTGAGTTTAAAATTGGTTACACCCGGTAAAAAAGATGTATTTATATATTTATTAACTCTGGTACAGCAGGTATACAATAATTATCCAATACTAAGCTGCTTAAGCCTTATAAAAAAAGGCTTGTCCTCAGCATTTTTTATATAATACTAATGTCTTTTCCATCCATATCTTGATCTTGTATCAGTGCTGTGAACTTTATTAACTGTACAAAAATTAATTTTCATCTTCTTAAACATTGTGTAATAATTTGAGCTTTATTTCTATAGAGCATTTCCTTCTGACTCCTTGCGGGACGTCCCTATGATATGACAGAAAATTCATAGTTCCTTAAAAAAGTAGATTTTTAGGTGTGGTGTTGATGTACCAAATCTTATTGATGTATCTGTTGTCGTTTAGAAAATATTAAGCCCGTGCGGGACTTTATATACACCCTGTATAGTTATTACTATCCACAAGTTATTGACTATTTTTGAAAGTTTTGTTTATAATGTAAATTATCTGTGTGAATCCTGTTCAGAATTGACTAAAAATTGTGAATTATGCCAATATAAATATGAATATAAATATTAAAAATAATAGTGTCTATAAAGCTAAAAAATAATGTGAAGGATTTGTATCGCAAAAAGTGTTTAAAGAATATTTAAATCAAACTAAACTTACCTAAAATGAGGAGCAAAACCAAAGCAGCTTTCTCGGCCATTAAACTGTCATTGTCTGGGTTTGTTGTCTTTCTCTGTTTTATAGATGCTAAATCAGCAGTGCTGAACCAACACATTCCTAGGTCATTCACTGAAGGTCCCATAATTGACCGTTATAATGACCCTATGTTTGTTTATGCTATATTGACCGAAAAAAAACATCATAAAAGTGGGATTTCAAATCTAAATGGAAAGGCACGAATGAATAGGATTTTTTTCAATATTATCCTAAACTATCTTAAAATTAACGTATGCTGAGATCTGTTCTCCAGTGAATGAATGAACCATCGGAACCATGAGATTATGGAGTAAAAATTGGTTTTTCTCATTTTTTACCCTCAAAACATAAAATTGTCCTATTTCGCTCTAAACCATTTTGAAGATCTCAAAAACCCAAATAATTTAGTATGTTGAAGTGTTTTTGCACGGTTATTGGTTGAGGAGAAATTTAAAAAAAATATTGTAAATTAAAAATTTCTATGTCATTCTTAAGGAGAATAATTAAACTGTTGTAGTTTGTTGTTTTTGGATATATTTTGATCAAACTTGGCAAATTTATTTATTTTATACTAAGCTATCAATATTTTATTAAAAAACACACTTTATTACCCTCCCTGTAGCAGCAAATCTAGGTACTCGGTACTCATTAAACCTAATGAGTAACAAAGGATCAAACCAATAGAATTAACAGAATAAATAACTGTCATCAACCATCTACAGTCTTAACAAGCAATAAATACCAGGAATCCAATTCTGTTTACACTGAAGAAATCTCAAAAGAAGCTAAAAACCAAGACCCAACTTCAACTAATCTTAAATCAAACATTCCGAGGAAAAGGCTTGTAATTTTTGCTGATAGTCATGGGAAAAATTTAAGGTCTTTAATAGAACCAAGAACAAATGTCAATGTTTGTTCATATGTAAGGCCTGGGGCAAAGTTTGATAGAGTCACAGACGAAATAAAAAGTTTAAGCAAAGATTTGGGTAAAGAGGATTACCTTTTAGTACTAGCAGGAACTAACAACATAGAAACCACCGGAATAAAACGATTCACTGAAGATGTAAAAAAACTTATTAAAAAACTCAAAGCACACAAATCTAATTAATGCAACCATACCAATGAGGCACGACAATCCTAACCTAGACTATAAAATATCCAGAGTAAATACTGCAATCGAGGATATAGTTAAAGAGCAGGAAGATATAACTTTACTCTCCTTGCACTTGCTACCATGTCATCCGTTTACAAGACATGGCCTGCATTTTAACAAGAGAGGAAAAGTCACCATAGCTAAGACGGTTGGTTACCAGATGATACTGAAGGGTAATACTGCTAAGAATAAATCAGAGATCACACTTAATGATTGCCTTCAGACTATAAATATTGTCGAGGGAAATATGGACGCCATGCTCAAGAAGTGGAGGAATAAGCAGTCTCTAGCCCATTCAATATCTGCGGACTTTGAAGACTCTAAACACATGTCAGCAAGTGTGGCAGTGGTGTCAAGAACAACATTGGAAGTCCTAAAAACGTTGATTTGATTTGCAGTAATTTAACATGCCAACAGGTACAAAATGGTGCTTTGGTGTATAGTATTGTTGCCAAAGCTAAATATCACAAAAAACCAACACAAGAAAACTATGACAAGGCTTTTGATCAACTCATCATCGACTTTCAAAACAGAGGCTTAAAAACTTTGATCTGTTCCCCAATGGGGTGCGTTAGAGAATAGACTCTATACAGCCTGAGCACTTTATTAATAAGATTATTAGTTTTCAATCTGTCACTGGCGCCACAGTCTACATAGTTTTAGATGAAAAAGAAACCAAAAGAATGTAAAAGATAAGCGGTGGTATTCATAAAAAGCTAACAGAACTTCTCACAAACAATAGTAGACACTATAAATCCCTACAAGAAAAATCTCCAGCCCTACATACCATTGAACCACCAAGGAACACATCTGTTACGCCTACACCTAAGAGTTTCACAAGACATGCTACAGACACCATTGCTCCAACACCATCACCTACCAATGCCTCTCTGGAGACTACAGAGACCAATATTCATACTCCAATCTCGATGTTGTCTGGACCATTCACGCTAGTGCAGAGTGGCAGTGAAGGATCTTACCCGGCTCAGCAGCAACTCCAGTTCAACGTGACAGGCGAAAAAGCCTCTGAAAGTGTCCAGTGTGTCTCAAGTGAAATGCTAAAGCAGAGTAATTGTGCCAAGGATGTGAGTAATATAAGAGATCTAGATAAGCTAACTGATAGTCATTTCCAAGATGTGTAGTGCTTATCTCATAGTACCAATGCATCATTTGTTTCTGTAGATCCAAGTAGGCCTATTTATAGTGTTTAGCCTTAATAAGACTGCCAAGCTAAAACTACTAAAAAACCCATCAATTGTAAATGTGGATACTTCTTTCTTGTTTCTATTTATTGTTTGTGGATATTTATCCAGGGCTTAAAAAATCAAATATAAATTTTAGTCATTTTTACTCAGTAAAAATATTTCTGCTATCGGTCTAAGTGAACATTGGTTAAGAACAGAAGGAAGAAGTTGCCTTGGCATATCCTGATGGCTTCTGTTGTAGTAGTACTTTCTGCAGAACTGATCATATAAAGGGGGGGGGGGCTCTTTAATTTTAACTAATAACTTTTTACAGGTTAAAATGTGTGATTTGGACCAGTTTTGTTCTGAAATTAGTTTAGAAGCAGCAGCGGTCTTTATCGAGGATTTAAAAACTAATTTTTGTTTCAGTCTACCACTCGCATTCGAGCAACCCTGTGGTTTTTCTTGAAAATTTTGATAAATTATTAACTCATCTTTCTCGTTGGACTAATTATGTTTCAATTATAGGAGGAGATTTTAATAAAAATTTTGACTTGACACAGAACAACTACCTCTCTAAATAATTTCTTAATATACTCCGCTAGCACAATTTTCACTTCCAAAATCACTACCCCACTCTAGGCAACAATTGTCTGGACAACTTATTAACAAACTGTAATAAAAATGCAAACATAAGCTGTAAAGTTTTTTAATTTTCCTTTCTCCCACCACAATGGTCTTCTATTAAATATAACTTTGAATTTGGAAAAAAATTGTGTTAATCAATATGCTGCTTTGAACCCCTTTTCTAAAGTAATTTTGCCAAAAGATCCGGTGGGTGTGTTAGTGGATAAGCTTGGTACTTATGATTGGACAAATGTGCTTAATTGTATAAATCCAAAAGCAGAAAATATTTTTTAAATGTTTTTTAAAGTTTTAAAAGATAACATATTTATTTTTCTAAAGCAGTGAAAATTCAGACTGAAACTTAAAAAAAAATAAAAGTAATGCTTGGTATACTAGTGAGTTAAGAGTTATGAAAGAAAGATTAATTTTTCTGGATAAAATAGTAAAAAATAGTCAAAGTGTTTCAAATGAAACAAAACAAGCATATAATGGGTTAAGAAATCAAAATAAGCATTCAATTAAGAAGGCAAAAATATATATAACACAAATCTCATAGAAAAATAATAACAAATATAAAACTTCTTGGCAAGTCCTTAAAACCAGTGGTAATTCTTTAATCAAAACAAAAAAAACATAATATCTCCTGATATTTTCAATACTTTTTTATTGAATCCATTGAAAACATAAAAATGAAAATTGTTAGTAATGCTTACAGTTCAAAAGATTTAGTTAATAAGTCTTCCATTACTCCTGTGCCTTTTTTTCTGGAATTTCCACCTAATGATCTAATAAAAGCCACAAAAAAACTCTAGCAGTAATGGTATCTTATGTCTAATAGTTTGCTTAAACAGATAATTGGTAATCTAGCTGAACCTCTATCTTACTGCTTTAATCTCTGTCTCCTTGAAGGCGTCTTTCCAGATGAATTAAAGGTCACCAGAGTCTGTCCCATTTTTAAAAAAGGTAAAAAAGACATTCCATAAGGTTATCGCCCAATATCAATCATTCCTATAGTATCAAAATTGTTTGAAATCATGGTTTTTGATCAGCTGAATTCTTTTTTGTATGATACAGAGTCAAATAAATAAATGCTAATCACTGTTGGAATTTGTATCTGAATGAACAGGGGTTACAGTGTTACTGTTAATTATAAATGTAATGTGACCTTTCATGTTTCACTTCTTCTTTTTTAATGTACAGTATTTACATATAGAAAAAAGTTGTTGAGGCCAAAGAGAAACCGTTAAGCGGTCAAAAGTATATTTCTTACTTCAAACATCTCATGAAAATATAGGGCTAGGCATATCCTATTTCATAAATGTATTGCCTAAATTAATTTGCTGTGGAAATGAATAATACAAAATTAAATGTACGAAATAAATTTTGATCACAATTTATATTCATCTTGTGTTCACAGTGTGTTGCGGGTTAACAGTATTAGTGTAAATATATGTTTTCAAGTAATATCTTTATTTACTTTCTACAGACATCTATGTATCAAAGTACATAAAACAACCACAGGCAAATCATAACTTTTGTTGTTTAGTCTATTTTGTAAGCTGTTTGGCATTATTTATCACTGCAGATACATGTTTGCGTGTTTAATATAGGACACACATATTAAAAGGTTCTTTGGACAAAATAAAATGTTATTCTAATCAGTATTCTGTTTATTTACAAATACAATGTATTGAGGCTACTAAAGCTGAACACAGTTCTTGGTTTTGAGCCACGAGTGAGGAGAAAGCTCCTGTGAGTTGAGTTACTATTATGAAGTACACCAATAATTTTCTGTTGACTGTGGTTTGAGATCTCAGAATCAACCCATTTTCACCCTGAAAAAAGTAACCGATCTAATATTAGTGTGGCATATCAAACAATATGTTCAACACATCAATAATACAATTGTTGGAAAGGTAGCTCACTTAAAAAGATCAAGTGATAAAAAGTAAAAACATTTTAAAATTTTATCATGAATTAAACATTGGTTATTATTCTTATGGAGAATAAGTAAACTGTTATAGATTGCTTATTTATGGATATATTTTGATCAATAGTTGCCAATTTATAAATTTTTTACCAAGCTGACAATATTTTACTAAAAACAAACTTTATTATTCTCTCTGTAGCAGCAGACGTTGGTACTAGTGAAACCCAATATTATTTAAATAGTTTCAAGTACTACAAATCAAATCAGGCAAATGTAAATTCACTTAGTCTGCAGGTTTGCTGCGGCGGGGGTATTTAGTCTAGCCAGGGGCACAGTCTGCACATACTGTAGGCGAGACTTAAGTCCTCTGAGCGCTGGCCTATTCTAAAAATGCAGGCGCTTACTACTCGATGGCTAGGCACGGCGGGTTACTCATGTTCCACGTGGCAGCCAGGGCTCACATCCACTGCGTTAAAACCAAAAGAGCACCTGCAAATACCGCGCGGCAACATACAAACACTGCTGCATATTACTCTGGCTCAGAGGACTTCTTAACTCTCGCCTACAGTACTGGTGGGAGTCTACTGTTTACAATTTGTATTAATAGGACTCAGGAAAAAAGCTACTATACTATACAGGTTGTGTTTGAATTGTCCCCCCCCTTCCAACTTTTTTCTACATTTTTAAAATATCAATCCCAGACCACTTCCAAACATTGTTGGGTAGTAAGTACCGGTACTCCATTTTGACAAGGTAGTAATTTCCAGCCGCCACCTTGGATTCGCTATAGGCTATTGGATTCAAAATATTTTTTTCAAATGTAAAGGTGGGGTTGTAACCCATTTTATTTTTAGCCCATTTTAACATTTTGCATTTACAAACTAAGACCATGATCTCAAAATTAATAGTGCTAGATAAAGATAAGTATACACCACCAGTCATTGTCGACCTATTTTCACGGGGCGCCGAAATCGTACCCACTTGGAACTGTACCCCCCACCGATCGTTGACGTAATTTTTACGTCACCCCTGTTTTACTATATGGGTGTGAAACATGGAAAATATGGACAGTGTCATGGCCATTGCATGTATTTGTAAACCGCTGTCTTAAAAGAGAGGGAACAAGTTGGGAAGGGGTGAAGAGAGTCGCTACTGACAGGGACCAGTGGAGAATATTAGTTGAAGCCCTATGCTCCAGTGGGAGTTAATGGAATAAGGTGAAGTAAGTAGATCAATAGCCTATGGCGGCTGGAAATGACCACCTCGTCAAAATGAAGTAGCCTACTTACTACCCAACAATGTTTGGAAGTGGTCTGGGATTGATATTTGTAAAAATGTAGAAACAAGTTGGAGGGGAACAATGAAAACTCACCCTGTATAAATGAAAACCTAAGAGAGTTCTCATATAATATTAACCCTTGAAGGTGGCCCAAGCATAAACACAAAAGCATAGAATAATAAAAGCTTAAGTAAGTCAACTAATGATAACTAATAATGAATTGAGACAAGATGATATGGTTACTTACATGATCACAGGACTCCAGAAAACGAGACAAAGAAAGACAATCACTTTTATCTAGAAACTACATACTTTAAATACAAACACAGACAGTTATCAACTTATGAATAACACAGTGGACATTCCTAATACATGACAGTAATTTAATCCTAAACAATTCACATGTCCCATAGTCACAGATTAATTAAATATGCAATTGCAATTAACTTAAATAGTATTAATTGTTATCAATCCTTATGGGATAGAATTTGTTTAATTTTTTTATGTCAACTTCCCAATTAAACCTAAGGGTGTCAACTAACCTTAAAATAAAAGCACACTTGGTCACAAAATAGTTTTTTTATTGGAATTTCTACTATTTAATGTTGCAATATTACAAAAACAGTCTAAAAGATTTGGATGTTGTCACTGGTTGCAATTTGAAGAGTTATTCAGTTCTTATTGATCTTATTACAGAAATGTATTCTGCGATTGTAATTAAAATAAATCGGTTAAACTAAAGACACTTAATTTATGTCAATTGTCTTAATTGGATACTAAATGAATATTAAGAATTGCTTTACTTTCATAATAAAGGAGGACATTATTGGTCGCTGGAGAAAATATGAAATTGATCCAAACCAAGTCTGGTCAAAAATTTATTGAATGTAACCTTTTGATAATTATATATTTTTTGTCGTCCGAGTTTCAAGAACTTGAATCATATTAGATTTATCTTTGTTGTTGTTGCCTGAGGTCTTGTAGGTAAGATGTTGTGTTGTCCAATAAACCCGACCGCGATACTAGTGAACGTAAGTGTATAAATATTTTTTGTAAATATATTCTATAGTGCTAGTGATAAGGAGATTACTGAAGATGCCACACAAGGTGGAGGAATGCATATGGTGACACAAACACCTTACCTACAAGAGCTCAGGCAACAACAACAACAACAACAACAACAAAGATAAATCTTTTAATAATTGGCACCCCTAAAATTCAGTAGATTGAATAATCAAATTTATTCATGTTGATCTTATTTCCGTCCATCATTTTCTGTTAATGGAAACATTTTATTTAAATATTATTATTCATATGCAGAGTTGTTTATTAATGGATAGAAAAAAAAAATTAATATGAAAATGAATGTTAAATGGAGTTAGTAAATAAAATTATTTTAGTTAAAAACAAATAACAGTTATTCAAAAAGAGGTTGTTAGCAAGTTTCAAATGAGATATATTTAAAGTATGCGACTGTAAAACATTTAAAATTGACAAGACTTACTTTCTGAGTTTGAAACTTTTTTTAACACCATGAAACTATAACAGCAAATGAACTGACACCAAGCAACAGTATAGTTTCACTATGCAAGAGAGTCAAATGTAAAAAAGTTAGTGCAAAGGGTAAAACTCTCACTTTTTAAGATATTATGATGATAATTTCATGATGCATTTTGTTCTTTGTATTTGCATGTTTAGTTTATGACAGAGAACCACGACTGATTCTGAGACTAATGGTAAGCTAATAAGTGTTTAACTACTTTTTTTAGACATTTACGTTTTAAAATAATATTCGGTAACAGTAATGGTAATATTAGTATCTATAAAATAGTTCATATTAAAAATAAATAAGATATGATGTGATACAAATAAAATAATCACTCACAACTTTCAAATAAAATTATAGGGCTTTTATAATCTTACGTAATATAGTCTACTTTTATCAAAAAGTTTTAACAATGATTAATATAGATTAATAAAACTTATATTCACCAACAAAATTTACATATTCAGTCATACTTCTAATATGATATATAAAATGGATGGCACAACATGTATGGGTTAGGTACTATGGCTTGTTACAATTTTGTTTTCAACATGGCAGCTTCTGTTTCTTCATCAAAGTCCCTGAAAGAACGCATGTAGAGAAATGAAAATTCATCAGTTTATTTCCAATAGTGCAAGAATCAGACAACCGCCACCGCTAATTAGAAACCTTGCATTTAGACCATGCTCAAGGAACATGAGCGTTTTAAGTGTTTTTTGATCACCAAAATGTTCATGCTCATAGGAATGATTCTTATTTTTTTACCTAACAATTTCTTGAGTTGGGTTTCATTTGGCTGAATTATGTGTTTATTTGTCGGTTATTATCATTAATGCCCATTTCTAGCTTTTGAGAAGCGGTAGTACATTCGAGTTTACCACTTATTTTTTATATCTAAAGTTCATAGTCGACTACTTCCAATGTAATAATTTCAATGAAAAATTAAGTATTTAGCTAACAAATCACTGCCTTTGTTTTCAAGTCTAAACCAATAAGCCTATAAGTGGCACTGTGAGGCAGTTTTTGGAGAGAAACTTACAGCCTGAGACTGTAAGCTAAACTACAAAATCAGGGACAAAACAAAACTCAACAAGCACCTCTGAATGCTACAACGCCAAGTTCCAATCAAATTCAAAAACTTGTTTGCAGTTTTTTCTCAAAATAAAAATAGTAATTTTTTCTCGTTTTTAGAACACTTTTAATATGAAAATGCATTGTAATTTTGATAATAATATTTTATTGTATACAATGAGGTCCATTTCTAATTTGGGTAGTGACATAGGCTAGATGATTGTGGGCCAAATTAATTTTGAATTTACACCTACACACACTTTAACACATAAATAAAAGTAAGATTTTTGAATGGGCAATATCAGGAAACCGAGGAACTATCTATATATAGCAGGACATAGCAAACATTGTACTTAGCCCAATAATAGGATATTTTAGTGAAAGCTGTAAAGGGTCATATATTAATGTGAGGTAATATTTCACGGTCATCCTGAATACGTTGATTTGTTTCACGAAAAGTTTTCAACCTTGAGGCCAGAGGCGGTAGGAGAGAATCGCTCAAGAAGTGCCCCAGGCAGTCAGTCTTTCTTCGGCCACCGAACACACGCTACATGATCCACAACGAAACAATATCTGGCAATAGCCTATATTGAAAATCACAAAACTATCTGAACACCGGTAAGAGAAGAGCAACACACAACACTCAATTTCACTACCGGTTAATAAAATGTTACGTTTGTTTGATGTATTTTAAGTTATATTTCGCCGATCACGCATGTTCAAGGCACGATTCTGCACGCACGAGAAAGTGTAGATTCTGTCTTACGCGAGGCTATGGTGGCTACCAACACCAACCAAGTATTATAAACGTTTTAATTATTTCATTAATGTTGTAGACACTACATTGCGTTAATCGACAACCATACTAATTCAAAGTTTGAACGGCAATTAATTACAAACGACTCTGGTGATTGACCGAGCTAATATTAGGACACATTTTACTTTGGTGTTAATCAAGTACAACAAACTATTCACGTTTTATAAGCCTCGTAACAATCATTCCATTATATTCTTATTCGCGTGGTATTTTAATTCTAAAATCGATTTCAACACATATTTCGAGTGGCTGTGATGATCACTTGTTGAAAGTAAGCTAATATAGTTATTAGTATTGTTGTAATTATAATCTGAGTCTGAGCCAATAAACTCAAAACGATAATTAAATTACGAACACTTTAGAATCCTGGACTATCTCATTGTAGGCAAATCTATCTGGACAAATTTTAAGGTACGGATAATTTTGGTTAAGACATTACTTACACGTATTTCTGTAGACGACGTCAATATTATTTGTTGTGTCCCCAAACCAAATTTTACGTCTCCATTTTAACCCAATACAAAATTGCAACCATTTTAAAACTATGCCAACTATGGGTAAAGTGCAGGTTTACTCTTAGGGCATTTCAAGTAAAAGTAAACTTAGTGCACCATGAAAGGACATACAAATCTATTTTCTTGCCAGCAACACAGTTTGTCTGAATGTCCAGAAATGCCTACTTTAACTGTTGAACTTTGTCCTCCCAGAACCAGAACCAATCAAACGTTTCAAATAACAGATGTACCAATCAAATGTTTCAAATAACAGATGTAGTTAAGAGCTAGATTGAGATCAAGAGTTTGCACCAAACAATATTGTTTACATTTTTGTCTAGCTTAAAAATGTCACTGGCTAAATTTTACATCAGAACTCAAAGTAAATGCCTTAGTTGTAAGATGACGTAGGATTTTACCACAGATATTTGTTCCGAGGATTTGTATTTATTTACCACCACCAGAGCCTTTTTATTAGCCAGATTAATTATTAGGATTGCAAATTTGATATTTTATTATTGTACTCGTAAATCAGTGATTTAAATTAATTTAATTCAAATACCCCATCGTTTTAATATTTTTGTTGGACAGCTTGTTAGCACAAAACTCTTCTTTACAAACAAAAATCAGAAAAATCAAGCAACAAATCACACCATTTTCAATTAAAGACATTTCTCATTATTAAACAGGACAAGACATTTAGAAAGAGAGAAGATTGAAACTATACCATTTTTGAAGAATAAAGAAAAAGATCATTATCATCAATCATCAATCATTAAGATGGGGACGCCACTTAGGTGCGTATTTTAACCCAAATATGAGTGAAGGATGAGTGTAGAATGGTGTGAGATGATCTGTGTAGCTTTGTTACTGACTAAGATCAGTTGTTTCATTAGCCAGGATCATTTATTTAAAGCCCAATGATCAGGAACAGCTGGGTCCTGTTTCGAACCATCAAAAAGCTACTGACTTTTCTCAGGATCGAACTGGCGACCTTTTGATTAGTAGGCGAGCACTATAACCACTCAGCTACCCAGCCATGTATTGTTTTATAATAGTATAACAGCAGGAAAGAGTGAATACAATTGTAATGTACTTAAAGCAAAAGCAGATTCCAGGGTTAAGCTATTTCATAGCAGACAGAATGCAGAGGCAAAATAACAAATAAAAGTAATAATAATAGGCCTACATGTTGACCAAAACATCAAAAGTTGGTATATAAAATGTATACTGTGGCATATTATTAGAAAAGTTAATGTGTTAAAACAACAAACACTTGATATATGAATACAAATTTATGAAGGAAAAAAGATGTTCTACAAATCTAGCAACAAAAAATCTACGAATGAAACCATTTTAAACTGTGTTAAGAAAGGTTTATGAAGTAAACTCACAAGGCACAATCACTCACAAATAAGATTATATTATAGAATTTTACTTTTTAGCAGGATTTTAGGATGTTTGGAATAAAGATGTAGAAGAAAAAATCTAACTTTCACCATCAACAACAGTCATATAATATTTGCATAACAAATTCTTAGTAACAATATTTACAGCCAATAAAGTATTGACAAATGCATAAAACTAATAAGCTACTACATGCTCATTTAAAATAACAATAATAAATCTTTACTATAACAACAAAACAAGATTAAAATTTGATGGTATAAATATTATATATTTTAATAAAATAATAGATTCGGTATAAATGTCATTTTGACAAGATTGGTGAAACTGCACACAAATCAGTATAAAATGTTGGACCGCAATAGAAATAACAATTTAAAAAATGGTTTTCCTAACAAACATCTAATGACTAAAATTGTAAATAAATATTACATCGCATTAAACTACTTTTATACTGAAATAATTTATCTAAAATAATTGCTTTGCATAATGTGTAGTAAACATTAATGAAATAAAATTTTTGAACTAAGATAGCTCTAAAATACGTTTTGGTATAGCAAACAATTAAATTAATGCACAATTTAAATCGTTATCATAGAGCCTGATTTCAAAACTCTTATTGACACTGCATAACTGAATGAAATATTGTTTAAATTCGAAAAGATCACACCTCTAATAATCTCAGGTAAGGTGTAGCTTTATAAATTCATTTTGATTATGCACTTTTTTCGATCATGCAGAGAGTAATGTTACAAAGCCTCTTGAAATAGAGCTTGATGATTTGGACTGATTTGATCAAAATTTGGGACCCTTTAATCTAAACAGTAAGATTACATTTGAAACAACACATTTCAAAATAGCCAAAAGAAAAAATATTTTGAAATAACAGACACTTTTAACCCTTTTAACCATGCCTGTTTTTATAACTTTTTCCCATCTCATGAATAAAAAAGTTCAATTTCTTAAAAATAAGCTTCTATTGGACATATACACAGTAAAGGAAGTTAACAAGTCGCTAAGTGCATGATCAGAGAGTAACTCACATAGCATTCATCCATCCAGTCCCAGTGAACCTACACCAGCACCATTGTTTATTTTATGTGGGATTCTCCAACCAAGCTACCCCAGATATATGAATTTATTGTATGTTATCAATGAAACCTTCAAACCAGACTAAGACAAAATTTGAGCCTTAATGAATTTACAGAGCTGTCTCTCGGTCAGGAAGCCTATAGACATCTTAATTATCAATCAAACCTAGCTGTCTTCACCTGTGCGTAGTGTCTTATTAGGTTGCAGGCCATGTCAGGCCCAATGTCATGTTGAACTACTGATATATTGAAAACTGAGGTTAAAGGGGTTAAAATCCAATTTTAAATTTTATTAATATTGCAATTAGTAAATGAATAAAATAATATTTGTTCATGTACCAGCCAAGTTTATTGTAACATTGCTCTCTGTAGTGCAAGTTGGACCATGTTTTTACGTTTGTTCAAATGTAGTTTACGTTTGACTTCCACTTACATGTGCTCAGGATGGTTACGGATGCAGTCGATGAAAGCTTGTGGTTTTAGTTCACCGACACAAATTTTGTGGACGGCAGTAAACAACGGGAATCTGTAAACAAAAACCATCAAAACATTGAAACATTTACTAAGTAAGTGTTGTTTAAGGGACTATTGCTGACAATTTTCATTACATTTACTCATTTAGTAAAAAAAGAATATTTCACAATGTTTACGGATCTGGAATCTGATCTCGTCTTCAGGTTAGAAAGTCCTCAAAATGTATCAAGGTTAGTACACAAACCCATGAAGCTAGAAAATCATAAAATAAAAACCATTACCAAAAAAAAAAAAAAAAAAAAAAAAAAAAAAAAAAAAAAAAACAATAGGCCTACAAATGGCAGGCTTAAGAAAATAACCATTATATTATGGGAAATAACTTAATCATAAACTCACCATTACCAAAAGTTTACTTCAAAAAAAGAATTGTTATTTACTTTTCTATAAATCGTTTTAATGTCTGTTGTTAATACATTTGTAAAAACAAACAAAGCTACAACATTTTTTTTAAATGTTCAAAAATCAAAATCCAAATTAAATAATAAAACATCAATTTCACAAACAGCAATATATTTTAGTGGCTCTAAACTGCAATAATTTGTCTCTGAGCACAAATACTCATACAAACCCCGTTATAATATACCCGTTATAATATCCAATTTAACGTATTTAAGAAATCATTATGCACTTCAACTATCCATTTCACCATTGTTATCCATATCAACATTATCAACACAAAATCATGTTTGGAACAAGCACCTAAGTCTTAATATCTTATTAATACAGTAATTTTTACTTTCTCTCTCTACACAATAGTATATGGAGAACGTATTGTTTTCGTCAAAACTTTTGAGTTTGAGTTTTGGGTGGATATATCTGTTTTGAGTCCCCCTGAACCCCATAAAAAGTGCCTTTTGAAGTGGTGTCTGTATATGTGTGGAGGTGTACAGAGCTACAAACAACACCTGTGGTCCGCTTTTGATGAAATTTGGTATGTAGGAAAAGTACCAATCCGTGGTATCTCCAGAATTTATTTAGATTTTTTATGGTACCTAACTTTTTCATAAAATCGCAAAAATATCAAGTTTTCTCAAAATGGGCACGAACGATTTTGGTTGAAATTAAGTATGTAGTAGTACTCCTCTTGACTCTGAACCTCTTTCTCTCTATAAAAACCACACAAAAATCACTAACAAATCAGATTTAAAAAAACAGACTTGACCAATTTGTATTCAAATTGTGTGTATGTTATAGTCCTTTAACTCTAAACTAGGGATGGACAGGTCTCGAATTTTTGAGAAATTTTCGGAAAATTTTAAATCTTGTTCTACAAGACAAGATGTTATTTTGATCAAGATTTTTTCCAGACGAGATAAAAAAAAAACTTAAAAACTCCTGGAGAAAGTCATTGCAATAACCACAATACAGGAGCGTGTTGCTGTTGCCTTTTCTTTGCAAAGGTGTTCTTTAATTAATTCTTTACATGTAAATATTGCTTTAATTGTTTTATAAATTTTTGTATCGTCATCACAAATGATGAGAAGTTTTGTTAAGAGTAAGCAGTGTGAGACATATTTTACTACAGTAGGCCTAAACATAGCCAAATCAAGTCACTTCAAAATCATTCAAAAAATAACACTAGACAAATTTTTACTTGATACTTAACTAGTAAGACTGATGTTTTTGACTGATAAATTTGGTATTTTTCAAAGTTGAACTATATCCTTACTGTTATCACCATGTTTCCTTGCGTAAGAGTTATTTTTAATAAGGAATGACTAATTAATATTTGTATTTTTTATACGATGTTTTTATTGATGCTTTTTTATAAAAGATAAGAATTTAAACATTCTTTATTATTATTTTTGTATTTAACTCGTCATCTGCCATAAATCAGAAGGTATTTGACAATGTTACAAAATCAGGTTAAAATGTCGAACCTGCATTTCCCGTTATGAATGAGAAGGGAAATCCAGTCTCGATCTCGTCTCAAAATTTCATGAGAAATAAAAAATCCTGTCTCGTCTCGAACTAAAATCCAATCTCGTCCATCCCTACTCAAATAAATACATACCCTATTGCTGTAAATAAATTACGGTTTAACAGTTATTGCAACTTTTGTGATGTTCCCAGTAAACTATAAAAATGTTACTCTCACTGCTTATCCATGTGCCGTGATACGGGTTGTTGACAAGCTAACAGAAGAAAGTATGTGTCACATTGCTGATACTGTTTATTTTATATGAACTACTCATTTTAACGATTCAGACAATGGGACATTATCTGTAAAACTTAACTTATCTGACAAAGTCATGATCTAACCTACAGTTCAGGCATGGCAATTTCCCAGCTGAACTCAACGTCCAAATTGAAATTTTAACTTTTTTTACAATTTCATTCTCTTTTCAATACTATCATGATCTAAGACAAAGACAAGATAATTTATACAATAAGAAGTCAAGAAATAATTTAACACAAAAATGCATATAAGGATAAACATACTTGTCCTCCATTCCCTTGTTTCTCAGCATGTAATTGACTTCATCGGCAGTGTATGGTCCTTGTAGTTTCTGTCCATTCAGCATTTCATCTTCCAACTCTTTAATTGACTGAAATAAAAAGGTTCATTACATAGAACAGTATGTACAGCTTTATCAAAGACATAATTTAAGAGGCTGTATTACTACGTAAGATAAGATTAAAAACATTTTAGTCCCAGCTGTGTTTTTGTTTTTGGTAAGTTACATGAGGTATTCTATTGCCAATTAATTTGTACATGGTCGTAGCGTGGCACGAGGTATTCTATTGCCAATAAATTTCCCGTTTTCTTTTTCCAGCTTGCCAAATCTCTGGAACGTGTCCTACGACAGTTTGCTAAGACTTGAAATGCCCGATGAGACCCGCCTCGTTGGCTACGTTGACGAAATCACTGCTCTGATTGCAAGCAGAAATGTTGAAAAGCAGAGCTAAAACTTGGTGTAGTGATGTGGATGCAGGACTATGGCTTGTTGCTGGCGGTTGGAAAGACCAAGATCATGGTCTTAACCAAGAAGGGAATACCTACTGTCCTTCCCATGCAAGTGAGCCATGTCCAACTGGAGACCAAGCCGTATGCCAAATACCTTAGGGTTATAATTGACAGCAAGATGTCTTTCAATGAGCAGATAAAGCGAACCGTTGACAAAACAAATATTTAAGAGACTTTGCCAAGACAACGAAACATTCACACATAATATACAAATATACAAGAAATCTTAAAAATGTTCAAATTAATAATTCTAAAAAAGCAATTTCAAACAAAAATCCAATGATTACTGGAATAAAATATTATAACTACCTTCCTGAAATAATAAAATATCAAAACAGTTTTAAATGTGTTTAAAAGAAATTAAAAATATTTATTGAGACCAAAGCACTATATAGTTTTGAGGATTTTTTTGGATTTAAAATTCATTTAAATAAATATAGATTTATATATATATATATATATATATATATACTCTGACGTGGTCCGGAGTTGATATCTTAAGAAATGTAGAAAAAATTAGGGGGGGGACTAATTTAAAACTCATTTTGTATATAAAACAAAGTTCCCCTCTGGTTTAAATTGAAGATAATAAAAAAGTGATTGAACTCTGCTGAATTTTAATTTTCTTTGAGGCTGATTTTATTTTTCTTTGATCTGTACTCAATCATATGTTCTCAAAATTCAACTGTTTGTTGACTGTTCATATTTATTTATTTGTTTTGTTCATTTTTACATTTCATTAATTCTCTGCTTGTAAACGTTTGTATCAAACAAAAATTCGCACTGTTTCATGTTTTATTTTTAATAATTGTCTCAAGAAATCCTCAAGAACAATATATATATTGATGGTCAAGTCTCAAAATTCTGGAAAATTTTAAATCTTGTTATACGAGACAAGATTTCTTTTTGATCGAGATTTTTTTCGAGACAAGAATTAAAAAAAATATATATATATTAAAAACGCCTGCAGAAAGTCAATGCGATACCCGCAATACAGGAGCGGGTTGTAGTTGCGTTTCCTTTTCGAAGACGTTCTTATTAAATTAATTCTTTACATGCTAATATTGCTTTAATTAATTTATCATTTGAGAAGTTTTGTTAAGTGTAAGCAGCGTGAGGCATGTTTGACTACTGTAAACAAAGCCAAAACAAGTAACTATTTTATAGAAATTAGTATTGCTTTTATTTTATAATTTAATTTATTTTAGGATAAGTTACTCTATCCTAACTGATATCACCATGTTTCCTAATCGTAAGCATTTTTAATAAGTTAGGCGTAATAAATATAATTTTTTTTATGTTGATGTGTTTATAAAAGATTTTAAATATTCTTCTTATTATTATTATTTTTGTATTCAAACAGTCATCTAAAAATGTTACAAAATCAGGTAATAATGTCGAACGTGCATTTCCCGTTGTGTATGAGAAGGGAAATCCCTTCTCGAAATTGTATGAGAAATAAAAAATCTCGTCTCGATAACATTATTATATATATATGTGTGTGTGTGTGTGTGTGTGTGGTATCAGTTTACTATCTTGTTATTATATTATAACGTATGATTAAGTCTTAAGCCATTCAGGTATACAATTGTATATTTTATGAATTAATAAATAAATTGTCTTTGAATTATTGAATTGAATTGACAAAGCCACCAAGGGAGTCGCTGCCCCTAATAGGCTTATGCCAAATATCGGCGGTGCCCACTCCTGTAGACGCCACCTACTAATGTCTGCTGTCCAAACAGTGCTTTTGTACCGTGCTGAGGTCTGGGCCCATGTTCTGGAAAGCCACGTCTTCCATGACCGGCTTTCTTGTATTCAGTGTCAATGAGCTTCTGCCTACCGCACCGTCTCTGAGCCTGCAGTAATGGTGATTGTCGTCCAGCTGGCTTCATCTCGGGAGGGAGCGACAGGCGATCTACCGCATGAGACCTGAAGTTGGCAGAGAGACTGCTGCCAGAGAAGAGTGCGACCGCTGGCAGCGCGAATGAGAGGCTGAGCTTGGGGATGTTGGACCACCAGGTTCATTCCCAGCATTAGACCATGGGTGGAACGGGAGCATGGTGAGGTCGGGTATTTCTGATTTCATTACCCAGTTTTTGCCAGGTCACGGGTACTTCTAGGCCTTTTAGCACAGAAAAGAGAGGGCCGCCAGCTCGGACTGTTTATACTGTCCCGGCAATGCAGACACTACCGAGCACACCTTCTTATTCTGTGGCAGGTGACATATCCGCCGAGGCTCTTTGATTTCTGAGATCGGTGTCGACATCACTCTAGATAATATTGTTGTAGCTATGCTCCAGGGAGAGGGCACCTGAAACTGTGTCAAGCAGTTTGCCGAGGCCATACTTTAGGCCGAGAAGAATGATCACGACCGGCCTAAACCGTAGGGAGAAACTAAGAAGGAAAGTCCTAGTACGTAGCTAAAAAGGCCTAGCCTAAAGTAATGTGGTGTCCTAGGAGATGAGGGGTTTTGTTAGCCGGTAGTCTGGGAACATCGAGCCCGCAGGAGTCCGGCACTACTGAGAGGACATTGAGCATTTCATTGTGCGTAAAAGCATTTTAACCTCCCCCCAAAACAAAAAAAGAAAGTCAAGGCCAACAGGAAAATATACCTGTTTAGTTTTACACCTCTATTTTCTAAACACCTGGTATTAAATAGATAGTGTTTTTAATGTTTTAATACTTAAAAATCATTACAATAACTAAATGAATAATTTTCTTTTGCAAACCAGATCTTCTATTTAACAACGTATCTCCACCAACTAAAGCTATAGTTAATTTTTATGATTGTTCTTACCTTTCCAGTTTTGACAAAGGCCTCTGAGATTTTACGATTGCGGCCTCCGTAGCAAGTGGTGATGAGATCAGCAACACCACAACTCTCGAAAAAAGTAGAGAGTTTGGAGCCAGGGTAGAATACATCCACAAACTTGATCATTTCCATGAGACCAAGCCTGATAACTGCAGCCTTGGTGTTGTCCCCTAGACCTAGGCCATCTACAAATCCAGCACCACAGGCCACAATGTTCTAAACAAAGAATATCATACGATCACATGAGGAGAAACACATGGATCCAAACCAAAACAAAATTTTAAAAAATAAGCTGCTGGTTATGACTATGATTGAATATTTCAATCCTATCGTTAAAAAAAGGCTAACCAACTTCAACTTGGTCCAACTTTCTTGGTTCAGTGCTTCAACTGCCAAATACAGACATTCACTGGAATATTGTATTTTGGTATTATATGCAGCGACACTTCTTCGTGAACCAGTAGAACATAGTAAATTTCATTCTAGGATATTAGTTTTAGATTTTAAAACTTGTTACTAAAATCGATGAGACAAATAATAGTTACTTAGTCTTAATGTGATAAACAAATTTCAGAATGAATATTTATAATTTACCTTTAGAGCACCACAAACTTCAACAGTATCCACATCATCGACAACCACGACACGGAAGTTTTCTGTCTGGAAGAGATCACGTAAAACAGAACCAAGCTGTTTGTCCTTACACCCTGTTTAAAAAGAGTACGTTTGAAGACTGAAATGCCTGAGGTGTTACAAAGCTTAAATTGAAACAAACTAATAATCCTCAAACAGTTGTAACATAAACTAATATTGATGGAAAAGAAAAATACCCCCGCCACAGCAAACCTGCAGACTTAACTAATTTCCATTTACCTGGCTGCATTTCTACTAAAATATTCCCTGAAAAATGTCAGATTTATTTCCTTATTAAATAACATTATTTTTAATAATTACCTAGGTTTGTTGCTACAGGGAAGGTATTGAGGTGAGTTTTTGATTTAAATGTTGATAGCTTAGTATGGAATAAACAAAATTGCCAAATTTGATTCAAATATGTCCATAAACAAGCGAACTACAACAGTTTATTAATTCTCCATAAGTCCATAAAAATAACATGGGAATTTTAAATTTAAAGTTTTTTTTTTTAAATTAGGTACCTCTGTAACTGTTAGGCATACAACAACGCTTCAATACCAAATTATTTATTTTTTTAAGCTCTACAAAATGGTCTGGAAAGAAATTGTGAAATTTTATGGTTTTAGAGTCAAAAATGGGAAAAACCAATTTATACCCCATAAAACCCCCCAAAAACCCCCGTTTCCATAGTCCCATTATAGTGGTTCGGGAACTCGTTCGAATAAACGTAGGTTTACACATTTGTCCCAAATTTAATCAAAATCGGATCATTTTTGCTTGAGTTATCGCGCTAACGGACACATACACACATATCTATATGAATTTGAACGGAGGGTGTTTTTGGCCTCTGGTGACCTCAAAATGAAAAAGTAAATCGGTCCCGGGTCTAGGTCTTACCATGAGACCTACGGTTATAGCTTATTGATCTCATATTCATGTTATTACTTCAGGGTCAGGATTCAAGTTTCTTTCATTTTTGATTATAGAATAAACATTTTATCTCTAGGTACCTGTATTTGTATGTGACCATAATCAGATAACTTAAAAAGATTCACGTTTAGGTTTAGAGATTTGGGATTCATTTATTACTTTCTGTTTCAAGATTAAAAATTTCTGGTTTTAACTATTACTATTAATATGTTGGTGTACAGCAATCACAAAGAGAAAATCATTTGTTGGGATTCAAATTGTTTAAAATATGTCAATTTTAATTTACGAATACAATCAATAACATAGCAAATATAAATAAATAATTATCTTAATAATGGGTTATGTTTTACAGGCAGTTCACATCCAAAGCGGCCTTGATATACACAGTTTCGCATATACATTATTCATTTAAAAAATCAAACAAATATTTGATAATGAGCCGTGCAATATTGCGAGCACGCCTCGTGCTGAGTGGACTGTGGTCAGGTGGCGGCACTGAAAATAATTTGATTAGCTTGTTCATACGGAACAGTCACCTGTTCTCCTCCCCATCTCATGCTATTATATTCCCAGATATATGCAGAATTGTTAAAAGCAGTGATCACTCAGAACAGAACGCATATAACACATACAATGCTCAATCATCATAAGTCATTGTGTAAAAGGAATCATTTATATTTGTTTGTAAGCATAAAATAATATTTCTGAGACAATTGACAGCGCACTAAAACTTAAGATTGTGATTTAAAATTGTACAACTTAGTTAATAAAAGACTACATAAACATGTTCAGTAATGACACATTCGGCACTGAAAACCACTTCACGCTAGACCCATTGAGCGCTCCATGGAAGCTACCTCAGCACCTTGACAAAAATAAACCCCCGCTTCAATACAATAGAACCACGGTTAACAGAAATAAAGGGGGGAGAAACGTTTCAGATAACTATTTTTTTTGTCAACCCGTCACATGCTAAAGCTTTTTACATTACGTATTACTTATATTTTAGTCCTGTATTATTTTATGGAACTGTTTCGGTTAACCCGAATTCGGTTAACCAGGGTTCTACTGTAACATATCTGCCAAAAAACAAATGTAATGCAGTTCCTCAAAAGAACTACATAGAGTACATTTTAGACCAGATTGTTGAATGGACACTTTTAATTTTTTTCAACTAAATTGTTTAAAGTGCAGGCAGAGCTCTCTGATATACTGGATGGAGGGTTGAATGTCATTTTTATTTTAATCCAAAACAGATTTTAAAGGACCTTCTAAATGGCATAATAATTAGATTGATGGTGAATAGCACAAATAATCGGATCAGTTAGTGATAAGTGTTTGTTATGTAATTCATGAACTCATATATTTGAGAACCTTTTTGCCATTATTGAGCAAAGGTGACGATTCTAGAGGATATAACTATATTTGAGGTTGTAATTTTTGTGCTCATTTGTTAGAGCTAACACAAGAAAGTACCTTACTATGGCCTGCAAGCTCATCAATATAATACAACAATAACCTTATCTATAAACAGTGTAGGCCTATGGGCCATGTTTTGAATATGGTGGTTGCTGATACTACAGCAAACAAAGTTTAAGTTCAAAGTTTAAGTTTACAAACTAAGAATTTATGTACCGTACAAAGTTCAAAGTTGTATTCTTAAACTTTGCATTGAACCAGAACCAACATGGTAAAAATATTTGTACCTGGCAAACAAATTGTAAATGATAGTTCTTGGCTGGTTCCAAATTTGTTTTACAAAGTCAGATAAGGATCTTTTCAGCAAACATGCTATTGTGTAAATTTCAAAATATTTGTTCAATTTAGAGAGCAATAGATTGCCGATAGAATCAAACAGTTTGCAGCCTACTGGACAGTTTCATAAAATTCTATATGGTAAAGTGGAATAGCTCATTCTCAGGCATTGCATTTAAAACATTATCGTCAATCCACTAACTTCTCATTACTTATGCACATATTCAAATAATATTGTGCAATGAGCTGTGTTATAGTTAATTGATTTTGAGCCAGTGCCAGTGCAAGTGGCTGGTCTCACACCAGCAATGTTTTAGACATTACAGTAATATCTCCTCCTTAACACTATTCGTGCTGTCGACATGTTTGAACATAAAAGTTGCATTTATTTCAATGTTAAGCAATTGCGGGAATTCCCGTCATCAGCACCCAACGTGTTAATATCCTTTCTCAGAAGTATCTTAGCCCTCCAATTGACCTAGACTGCTTCTACATGCTTAATCATTTTGTCAAACCCAATTATCAATTTATCTTGTATTTTGGTAAAAACAAAATTGAACTGTATAGACATTACAAAGAATGTATACAGAAACACATTTAACATCTAGAGGTAATTCAAGATTAAACAAAAAGGAATTTACCGATTGTAGTTTCACAGAATTTCTCTTCAGCAACTTCACCAGCAAGGTTTGCTCCCATCAGCACAGTCATCTGGATCTTGAGATGTCGAGTGATGATGTGAGAGATAAGGTCAATACCACCTCCTTCAGCTTTGTCAAATCCCTAGACCAAAGGTAAAGTCAATTGCAACACTTGGTCTATTGAATCTTTTGCTAAACAATTGTACCAAAAACCAGTTTTTTTAGTTAGGTATTACAATTACTACAAATTAGATTACTCATATTGTTTACAGCAGTACTTCAACAAAAACCATGCACATGGCCTTTACAAAATGCATGCACATTTTGTAAAGGCCACATTCAAATTGTGCTTTTAAATGGTAATAATGAATTTGTTGGACTGTTATTTGGTGGGTGGATATCAATGGAACATAAATGAGTGACCGTAGTTCTATAGTATGCTATAAAATAACTCTTAAGTGATTTTAAAATCAATTTATTTTTTTCTACATTATGAGGTATTAACATAGACAAATTTCAAGAATGCTAAGGGACACATCTCTCCACTGTTACACTTTAAAGACATCTCTAGGCTTGCACAGTGGAATGCCAGCAGAAATGTAAAAGAGGATTGGTAATGGTTAGATATTACAAGGACACGCTTACTTAAATCAGTCAGGGAGGGTTCCATAGTGGGGTAGCGAAATTCTACCTCCCTGAAATTTTACCGTCAGGCACTAATGAGTATTATAACTTATCACTGTGCCATAGTAACCTAAGAGATCTGAAGTATGTTTGCAGTCGGGATTCTAGATCCATTGATAAGGGTTACTCATGGATAGTATTAATCAGGTATGAGAGTCGGAATCTTATCCCCTTGCAATCATAGCTAACTTTACAGAAAACCTTAGACGTACAACTCCAAAATCTTGCCACCCGGAATTTACCATTCAAGTGAAATATCCCAAAAAGCAAAATGGTTCTTAATTAAATTTCTTTTTTATTACCATCGCTAGTTTTGACTAGAGATTTTTAATAGTTTCCAAAGTGACCGAATAGTTTGGAAACTCTAATAATGCTGTTTTTTTTTATATTCCAACTTTTACAGAAATGTTTAAGTGCCAGTAAACCTTAGTAAGTTTTCTTTGCTGATAAGATTTTGAGTCATACAAATCTTCTTTACTAGTCAGGAGTTAGGTTTCTAGGGAGATCTTACATTTTGAACTTAACACTTACAAGTACACATCGGTCAATCTGGAATTTTTATGCTTTGATATTGACAACACTGATAAGTTTTTGCACTAACCACTCACAATACATTCCTCCCTATCCCTCCTTGACCCACCAGGAGAATATTGATAAGTTTTACCCAGAGGAGTGTCTAGGGTGGACGTTTTTTGTTTCCCTGGTCGGTCAGATTTACCAGGTGTGTTCTATACCGTTACCCTGCTGTTGGTTAAAGTATGATCTATAACGTAGACTGTATTGAAAGTTTATTCATCTTTTGTGGTGATATAGTTACATTTTTCGAGTTGTCTTATCAGCATACAAACACAATATTCTTTGCAAATAGTTATTTGTTTGAGGTTCTTATTTGTTTGGTTAAGGTTCTGTGTACTGTATATTTTTACTTAAAATGAACCGACCTACTACAAGTAAATCTTGTAGTACATCAACGACAGTGGATGATCCAGATTTTGATGAACGAGTACGCAGGATGTTGGTGGAAGATAAGGAAACCCAGATGATCCAGATGAAGAGGATGATATTGGCTAACAGCCTTTAGTATAAAATTGAGAATTTAGAGCCTAGTCCCGGATAGTATGGTGACTTCTAAGTTCTAACCCATGCCTCAAAGTTTTGGCTTTACCTTGATCAATGAAAGGCCGACAGCAGTGGATTTGATTTTGCCAAGTAGGTTGGAACACAGTGTTCTGATGAACTGGTGAGGCACAACGAAAATAAGAATGTCTGCATCCTTAGCTGCATCTACAACGTCAGGAACTGCAACCTGTACAATAACAGACCATTAAGATAAATCTATATAGTCATCAAGGAAATACGATAAAATTATAAGACAATATCTCCTAAAATACTTACTGTGCTAGAGCCATAGGGCCTAATTAAAATAAGTAAAAAATCAATCAAGGGACAAAGTACAAGCATTGACTAATGTGCCATAAATATAGGTAATTTGAGACCCAAAAATATTAAAATAGAAATTGCAAACAAAGATAAACAGCATGTTTTACTCATATATATTATGGATGATGAGCGATTTTATAAACATATCTTTATGAAATATTTTTTTGTTATTTATATAATTTCTAGCTAGAACTTATTACATAACAATTTCTTAGGTTGAATACATAGGCTAAATACAGGGAGTTGTAAATAAGAGAAATAAAACCTAACAAATAGAAGCTACAATCCCATTTTGTATTGGTTATCCATGAAAAACCAGTTAAATACCTTCCTTTCTCTCCATTTATGAAACTAATCCTCATTTACACTGTCCTTGCTTTTCCTTTTTGAGACTTTCCGTAAAGGGAAAGAATCTAGTACCATAGTGTTCACGGTAAGGCCTCCATGCAGGATAACTATACTTATCGTTTTAGGTCCCCAGAAGCCATTCAACATGTTTTTCCGACAGTTACCAGACAAAGCGGGCTTCCTTGCACTGATTTTAACATGCAAAGTAGCTATTGCTGCAATTACTTACTTTTGTCACACTCATTTTATTTTTACCACACTCATTTTTTTTTACCGCACTCCAGTATTCCAACCATACAACACGAAACAGTGTGCTTTTATTAGGTACGTAATACCATATTACGACTACGATCAGTTGGTCCAGCGTTTCCCATTTTATTCAACCCTTGGATTTAACCAAACCTAAAAACATGTCATGTATCCCTCCATAACAAATCACCCATTATCACAAGTGTCATTTTCAAATCCCCTAGAATTTATTTTACACCTAATCACATTTTATTGCAAACCTTGATAAGAAGTCAACCTTTATAACGAGTATTATTTAATAATTTCCATGAGAGTCTTGTTATCGAGGTTCTACTGTAATGTGTAACACGAGTGCTGCACTCGAGAAACTTTCCACACTCTCCTGCGGCTCGAGTGTTTAAAAATTACTCTCATGTGCAACAAAGTGCCACATCGCACACTAGTTACACAAATAACTATTATAGATTGTGTAAAATTATAAAATCCTCAAGGTGGAATTGGGCAAGTAAAATAACATGAAACATTTACACTTCTTTGTGGACTACCCAGTATATAAACAGTTGAATGTTCTTTCAACATAAAACAGCTCCTCTCATTGATGGCTTATTCCGCTGCTGCTTGGCTAATGTGCAAAGACACTGATAATCAGCTTAACAAATGTGACTAAGAAAATAAACTACAAAGTATAAATATTTAGTTATTGAATTTTCATAATACTTTTCCAATATGATCAGAAGAGTTCATATCAATAACCGTGGTTTAAAAAAAGGCAAACAGGAAAGGTTTTTTCCTTACCCAATCATTACTTTCATCAATGGTTAATTTAGTAAGTTGTCTCACTTAACACAAACTATAAATTGTGCTATCTCCAAAACATTATGTAGAAGTCCAAACATCTGTCTCATCAATTCAAACCTTTCATAACTGAGTAGTTGGTGACCTTGCAGCTATATCTGTCTCTGCCTAATGCCAAAATTCAACACCTAATTCACTCTAGTCCAAGACACCACGCCAATCAATGTCCAGCCATTGCCAAAGAATCTATGAGATAGCTATGTGTGTTTATGTTCAAGTAGTTCAAGGTTTCAAAGAAAATTTTGTTTTTAAATCTGAATCAAAATGTTTAACTTAAGTGTATGTTTATGACTGAGACTCTGTTCTGATCAAAAGTTTTTAATGTGGCTTTTTATTTTAACCTTAAATGTATGATAAGATAAAAATTGTGACAGTAAAACAATGTAACTTATAACTTAGACAAGAATGTTTTATGGAGTAACTGAGTTATTTTAAAATTTAATTGGTATCGCTGTATTTAAAGATGTTTTTTATGAATCCTTTTATAAATCTTATTTTGGGTCACTTGGGTTTAAGGGTATTTTGGATCCTCATTAGGCCATAGTGTTTTCATGTTACATGGCCGCATACTAAATCTATTTTAGACCTACTAAAATTATTTTGTTAATGCTTTTAACTCAAACCAAACAAAAGATTGTTGGTTATCGCAGATTCTCTTTAATTTCCAATAAAGGCTGCTGAGTGGTCAAAACGACAAAGCATTAGACACACTTATTATGATTTCAATGGTTGCTAAAATATTGTTATATTAACTAAGTAAGTCATTACATATGTCCCTCTTGACGTCCTAAATGTATTAAAGAAAAATTTGTAGAAGGGAAAATCTTAACAAATAGCTTGATTATTTTATCATCATTCATTTGTCTCTTTCCTGAGGGTAAGGATGATACATTTATCACAGAGTAAGTTAAAGCACAAGAGGATGGTGGGTTTACCAAGGCCAAGGTCTACTTGGCTACTTACCAAGCTGTACCTGTGCCTCATGTTACGTCTCTGCTACAAGCATTTATTTTTAGCTTTTAAACACTCAAAACGAATCATCTACTCAATCATTTAGTCAGAACCATTCTACTGCCATTCTTATTGGAATCATTTTATCGCCTTACTTTACATTATTTCTCATGCACTAATTACACTGACTGCTGACTAGTTTTGGTCCCAAAATTTTGTCATCAATGTATATTTTTATACATGAAAATAACCTTATATTTGTCACCGACCGTGCTTATTCCTGAAATAATGTGAACAACAAATTAATATATTTCTTAATAAAAATGGTCATTTATTTCATCAAAGAATTGTCTACCTTCCTCAAGAATACTAGACATTAAGGTAATGAATGTTATAAGGCATTGTATTTTTAATTTTAAACTATTCAAAAGCTATATGTAACTTTTGAATTAAGCTATAAATAGTATTGATTACACTTCATAAGGTATACATTAAAAAATTTAAATTGAAGAATAACGGCTTATCAAAGACTTTTCATAAAAGAATTTTTTTAGATAGGCTAGCAGAAATCTCCCTCTAAATTCAGACAAGTCCAATTTTGTTTTTTTTTTCAACAAAACAAACTAGGAACGAATTAAAGCCTACAATATTTGTTGATAATCAAGTATTGAACAAATTAGAAAATAAAATATTTTCTAGGTTTAATCATATTACGTAATTTAGCACGGGCTAATCATATTGATATCCTTATTCTAATAACATCCAGAAGCATTTGCAAGTTGAAAAAAAGGCTCGGTCATGTAATAATGAAACGTCAAAAGTGATATACAGTATTATGCATTAATTCATTCACCTATTACCTATGGCATTTATTTCTATGGATCCAACACAAAAAAACATGGACATAGTTTTGCTTCAGCAGAAAAGGGCATTGAGAGTAATGTCGAATTTAAGATCAATTAAATCAATTAAATTGGTTTTGATCACTGATAAAAATGCCATATGTAACAATGTACATAAATATAATAAAAGATCATACAGATTGCTAGAGCACCACAATTTGGAATTTTTTTAAGAAAGCCCTACCTATTTAGAAACAAATGTTTACACCACCTTTCAGAAATGTTAAAATTAGAGAAAATCTAAATATGTATTTTAAAACATTAAAAAGTTTTTTAATTCAACCAACTAAACTCCATTCAAGAATTTTGTTGTATGTGAAAATCGCTTGAAGACAAAAAACATTATCTCCATTTTGTGTTCTAGGTTTCTTTTATTTTAGTTTGCATTGACATGCATTAGCTGGGTCTATTGTCTAGAGCAAATCAATTTGACGGAAATTGATTTAGGCTATATAAAAGTACACTTATTTAGCATATTTATAAGAAAACTATTGTGACACAATTTCATGTACCAACTTACCCTACGTAAACCTCTTTGGTCACTTATCATTGTCTACTATTAATATTTATTATATTTACCAGGTTATAACAAACTTCAAAGTGTAAATTATGAACATTATTAGGTGTCAGAGATAGCCTAGAGATAAAAAGTCTTATACTGGTGTAAAAAACTTCTGCATTTCAGCATTTTCTAAAACTATTGGCACACAATTTCTCAACTCATTCAGAATTTTCAATGGAAAATACAAAATTATTTTAGCCTACCATGTGGGAAGCAATTAAACCGTTAATCATTTCTGCTACTCAGTGGAATAGAATTAATTGTGTTTTGTCAAAAGTGTCTGTTATCAAATTAAACCAATCAGCAAACATTAATTATTTCACAACAAGTCACTAAATACTAGCATGAAGATAACACAAATAATCTTTTTTTGTTTATTGCATAACAGCCAAGGGGCTATAGCAAGGTTGACTAAAAAATACTGAAAATGTCTTAATAATATTTACAGATGTCCCAGATTTTTTGTTTACAGCACAACTACTTTTAATTGGCAATAATTTCAAATAAACCTTACTTCACTTTAACTACCAATTAGAGACAATTGCCATTCAAGGGGAGTAATTATCTGCCTTTAATAGTTCATGGGTTTAAACTGAATGGTTAAAATTGCTCCCACAGAAATGATCGTTATACATCTATCACTCATTTAATGTCAATTGCATTATCATTCATCCTCAAGTAAAATACAAACAATAATTTTTTCCATGTTTGATTCCATCTCTGTTTAAATTCCTATATTAACAAATTTAGGTGATTTAAAAGACTATGGCAACCCAGCAGACGCAGAGTCAGAGTTTGTCTAAGTCTGCTGATTCCACAGACCAACAATTACAAATGATGACTAGCTACAAAACTATTAAGTGATTATGTTCGTTTTGTTAGTTCTTGTCTATATCATTCAACATTAAGTTCACAAGTTGTTAATTTTTTCTGTTTTCTTGATTACTTTATGTTTGTAAAAATTAATAGTTATAGTTAAAGTTTTAAACATTTATACTATGTAACAAATTTAATGGAATAATGGAATAAATAATTCATTCATTCATTCATTTACTTGGCAGCTTGGGTGTCAAATATCATGCTTGGATGTTTCCTAATCATTCAACTTTATTATACAAGTGTAGTAAATAAGTCTACATTTTATTGTCGTTTTTTTTAACAGAGAGTATAGTAGGTACCACCAATTGAAAAAAAACTATGTAAAAGGATTTAACATTTATTTTTTTCTTAGTTAGGATGAAGTCAAATTTGATCAAAGGTTGTTGGACACCTATAAAATCAACCTAGAGTTTCTTAAAAATGTCCAATTTAGCAACAGGCTAACAAAACATCTCTAATGATGAGTACATGAGATGAAACTCATTGTTGTATGTTGTTATTGATAGTCTAAAAACCGAAATGGACCATACCCTAAAGTTGTTGTTTTAGTTATCTACACAAATATTTAAAGTCTACTAATAGATAACAGAGATTTGAGAATCTTATAGAAATAAACCAAGTGGAATGTTCTGTAGCATATCAGTGGAAATTTCCAGTAAACAAACACAGTAATTGGTTACTGATGAAAGCCTTTAGGCAGAGTCTACAGACAAAAAAGATTACACATTTCATATTGGAATTGTAAACAACTCCCCCACTAGAAACTAGATTGTACTTTAACCAATCTACCCTACAACATTTTATAAACAACAATTCCTACCACCTATATATCTATAGAAGTATATATTTGTTGATATATATTAGTTATTTGCCCTGATTTAATAGCTTGCAATAGGCAAACGAGGTGATGCTTGAAAATGTTTTGGTTTTGAACTGTGGAGAAGTTGTGCATATGAGTAATGCAAATTTTCATTTGTTAATTTGCTCCAAAATCCCTAGTGAAGTGACAACAGAAGTCAATCTATTTAAGATGTTAACTAATTATGTTTACATCAAATGCAACGGCTGTAAACATTCAACCCTATGCAGATATCAAAATAGGATAGAAATGTTTTTTTTTTTTAAAGGCCACTTGATAAAACACGTTTCAGATAATATTTTGAATATAAAGGTAAGATTCAATGTCATCATTATACTCATCGAGTTGAGGACAACACATTTATCAAGTATATTACAGGAACCAACTGAACAGCTTCAGCTTTCAAGATAAGTAGACACTTCAGATAAGAACTAACAAAGCCAAAACATCTTTTTATGGCACAATTAAAGCCAATATATAATCACCTCAATTAATCCTGCATACTCAACTGAGTATTTACACAATCTTGTTAATGTAAAATGTGTCCAATGGCCAAATAGTGCATAAGAGTTTTAAATTATTTTTAAGAGAATTATTGATGTACCTACCTATGTAACCTATACCCTAATATGAGCTATGTTTGTTTGAATGTTTGTTTGTGGGTTTGTATTTATCTCAAAATCCAGCGGGAGGATTTAGACTTAAGTATAATGTTAAATACTAGTTTTCATAATCCTAATTTCTTACAGCTTAGAAAAAAACTTGGTTTGCGGTGTAGTAGTCTATACCGGTACATTTTGATTTGACTTCTATACTGCAACATTAAATTAAAACAATTTACCCTGAAGCTAGTGTATAAGGTATTTCCACTCAAAAGTCACAACTAAATCCAATACATGATGACAAAAGTTATGGAAAATTTAACACATTTCCAGAATTGAACTCAAGGAAGAGTGGGTTTGGGGTGGGGTTATCACATCTCAGTAAAACATTGTTTAACACTTTATATGTTTATTTATTATGAATATTTATAACGTTTCAGTAGCTAGTAATTGCATCAAAATATTATCAATTTTGTCAAGAATATGTGTGGAAAAGAAGCAAAGATAAAAATACAAAATATTAAATAAGAAAGTGGTTACATTAAACCTACCAGTGCATTTAGTTATATTTACTGATAGGTTACAAAAAAAACACCACTAAACTCCTGTAAAAAAAAACAAGAAAAGGCAGAATTTTAAGCAGAAAAATGAAAATATTTAACAAATTAGATTTTATTATCGAGACCTTAAGTGTAATAGAGAAACATTTCAATAATATGTATGTCTGACTGCAAATTATTTCATATGTAGGCCAAGTCTATTAGATTATCTGACTATTTCATACCTTTTTTAAATACTATTTAAAACCAAATTCATTAAAACAATGATTAATTATTGTAAATTATCGCTAGCTGTAGAATGACCATACTTTTTAATACAATTGGTGCCAGTAATTGTGCTTTGTTATTTTGTTGTCTGTTTGACATTTTATAGAAATATGTCAGCTTGACTAATAGTCAATCAGACAGAATACTCTTCTTGACATGGGACAATATTTTTACTACCAACAATAGAATTAAGTGAATCAGTAAAAGTTAGCGCAACAAACTTTGAAACCATGACATTAATGACAAAACCAAAACATTGATTAACAAAAAAAAGTGACTTTTTATTTTCTTTATTTACTCAATTTCGCCTTTTTTGGGAACATTGATTGGTGGTGTATCGGATTCTAATAGTAGACAAAAGGTACTGTAAAAAGAGGTTTACGGAACTACAGTTTGGGAATGGATTAGTACTAAATTATGGTAATAACAATTTTTAAATTAATTACCTTTTTAGTTCAGGCCCATTAACGTGTGTCTTGATTCGAAATTTCAGTAACACATTCTCAAATACATAAAAATATGAAAAAAATTGCTTCTCATCTCTAAAATTTGCACGCTGCTCTAAACCTTCTTAGATTTTAAGATTTTTACAGGAAATCGTGATTTAGAATAGGCCCTTAACATAAGAGTGATTGTTTCCATTCTATTTTTTGTTGCTTATGGACTGAGCCAAACAACAAAACTGACATACAATTTGTTTATCCTTTGTAAAGTAATTCTTCATTTTATTACGGTAAGTCAACTGAGATGTTGAATTTTAGTCGAACAATAACTTTGCCAGTTTTATTTTAACCACAACAAGCAAATTACCTAGGATCTATATATTATTAATAAACTACATGAAACTTTGTGTACAATAAGGCTTTTTTGTTTTAAGATCCAACCCCAAATATTATATACCCAAAACGTTAGTCTAGGTGTGTAGACTTGCAAACTGACCTTGCATTGTTTTTAAAGTCCCTTGGGCTCTGCCCCAGTGGCTTTTAAAGTTCCCATGTTATCATTATGAAGAGCATATTTGTTTAAATTATAATCAGCTGCATAATTTAATTGCTGTTAATATTTTAGTTGCAATTTTAAGGAAACATGTGCTACAAACATTTACTGACTTGGTTGAAATGAAATGTTTACTATTTGAATTTGGGTTGGCGTAAATATTACAATGGAAAAAAGTGAGAAAGCCTGGACAATTTGATATACTTACTAAAAAGAAAACTGAATTAACACTTGGCTGCATTTCTTGAGCAATCATTGAAAGAGCCAATTTGCAAACTATAGAAATATAGGAAAGTCATAGAACACCACTAAGTAAGTTAGAAGAAAATAGAAACAATGACATTTTGTAATTTAAAATCGTTATTCGGACAACCTAATGCGGCTATAAGTAGGAAACATTTGTAGAAAACACTAAAAAACAAGATCAGCTTTTGAAAAATGATAAGATATTTACAAGAAATGTTGATTATATCTAACTGTTATGTACATCGTGAGTATTTCCACAATCTTTGAGTCGACTTTTTTAAAGTAATCGGAAATTATGACTGTTATTGGTGTTAAAATAACGCATGTTGTACCTTCACAATTGCTCGAATTCGAGCAACAGGTAAACTATAGACATCCCAGAAACAAAAGAACCCTGGGCCATCTCGAGCTGCGCAGGTTTGAAGGGTACCTACCGGCGCAAACCACGTGATCTTTTCGTTTCTGCGCAGGTTGTTTTGTTCTTGGGATTTCTATCGTAGGCCTATACATTAATTACCTAATTGTTGCTTGTACTACTGTTAAAATGGTTCTCTTTTGAAACAAGTCATAAGCACGCTAAAACACCACTTTTTAACTTATACAACCATAACTGGAAAGTAATTTTGGTCTACTAATAAATTAACACAATCAACAAATATAAGATGTCTAAAATTGGGTGACACAAAGTGTCAAGAATCGTTTCAGAAATTAAATATCAGAGTTACTATAAATATGAGTCTTTATAAAATAGAAAAAGGCTATAGCCTGTGTTTGAAGCTACAAACTTGGTCATTTAGTCAGGGGAAGTGAGTAGCTTTCAGATAAGTTATCAGCTCAGGGTCATCCAACAAAGGTTCAGTGCCAACAGTTCCTGATAGCCTTGTACAGCACCACTCAACTGACATCAAACAAAATGAATGACAGTAACCTACCTAGTGTTGAATCAACGGTGCATCTTAAAATCTCACATTGATGTATGAAACCCAAGCAAACCAATATTTCAAAATACAGGGTTTTGAGCAAATTGAAATTTAGCTATGCTTAGTCTGTTTATAGAAAAAGTTTATCTTTAAAGCTTGTATTTAGTTAAATAAATGTGAGGATGATGAGTATCCGACTACAAATCCTGGAATTTGAACTTTTACAAAATTTTAGGTAACGGTGTGAATAAGTAGGCCTATAGGCTACCTTGTCAAAATAAATTTCACTCTCGAATACGTAACCAAGTGTATAAATTACAAATATTTGGTAATTAGGAATCTTTGAGTCTTTTTAGTATTCTGAAATAGGTGCAAGAGTAATTAGGTCAAATTGGTCAGCCATCAAACGTCAAAGAAGGAAACATGATGATAAGTCATGTAGACACTTACCACATTTGGTGGCAGCTTATGGCCGGGGAGATATTTGACATTTTCATGAGTGGTGTTTATTATTTCTGTAAGTTTTTTCCCGTCAATCATTTCTTCATAAACATACATTGTCACTTCATCACTGAATGAGTCCAATCTTGCTGCATTGGCACCGACTATTTTAGCAATAGCAGAGCCCCTGTAAACAATGTTTCAATTGTCATTCAGTTAAGCCTAGCAAAAAAGGAGAAAAGGAAATAGTCTCTCCAGAGAAAAAAATTTTATGTTGCAAATCAATCTCTCTGTTCTCATAATTTAACTTAGTATGAATTTATTTACATAACTTAGTGAATATGCCTACATTACTAAAACCACGATCACTGCGGAAAATATTTTTTTTTATTCAAGATTATTCAGAACATATTTTTTTTGTTTAAGCTTAAAATCTGAATAAAAAGTCATAAAACACAAAAAATTAACACGGTTCTTGGTAGGTTTTATAGGCTAACCATTCTATGTTTAAGTTAGCATGTCACAGTGTAATTGGAAAAAACACTAGGCTATAATTTTTCCAATTATAGGGAGACCTCACTACTCTGTAAGAATATCTTACAAACAGGAGGAGCTTTTGTTCAAAGATTAATTTTTCTGTTAAAATTTTTAAATACTGGTATTCTATATTAAGGATGATTAATTTTGTTATCATACTTAACGCTACATTAAATCTAATTTTATTTAGCTTCAGAAACTAATATAATTGATAATAATTAATAACTAATTTAATTTGTACATAGGGGTAGGTTGAAGTGTGAATACACATCTATAGCAAATGAAATCAATTATGAGATATAAGATAACATAATAGTTTTTTGGAACTTCTCTGTTCAAGGTACGAATATCTAGTACGTCTATCTCGTAATTGATAATAATTAATAACTAATTTAATTTGTACATAGGGGTAGGTTGCAGTGTGAATACACATCTATAGCAAATGAAATCAATTATGAGATATAAGATAACATAATAGTTTTTTGGAACTTCTCTGTTCAAGGTACGAATATCTAGTACGTCTATCTCGTAACTTGACGTAAAAATCCCGATCATGCTGGTTCGCAAACTCGTTTGAATAAACTTAGGTTTACACGTTTGTACCAAATTTCATCAAAATCAGATGATTTTTGCTCGAGTTATCGAGCTAACGAACATATATATATAAATATATATATATGTACTCATGGTAAGACCTGGACCCGGGACAGATTTTCTTTTTCGTTTTGATGTCCTTAGAGGGCAATTTTAATTAATAGGTCCTTTAATAGGGCAAGAGAATAAATTTTAACTGTTGTAGTTTGCTTGTTTATGAGAACGTATTTTGGTCAAATTTGGATCATGCATTTTTTTTTACTAAACTATTAACATTTTATGAAAAACACTTTTACCCTCTCTGTTTCAGCAATCCTATGTACTCATTAAACTAATTATATTTAAATAAGGAATAAATGTGATATTTTTAAGGAGACATTTTAGTGTACCCTAAATCCAATCAGGCAAATGGAAATGTGCTTTGTATACAGGTTTGCTGTGGCGGGGGTATTAGTTTATTTATTATAAGTTTATTTAAATAAAATAATTTTGCTGTCTGTATTAGACCTAGGTCTACATAAGTTACTAAGTTACTTATAGGTCTTCTGGGAAAGGTTAACACGTTGGGTGCTGATGACGGGAATTCCCGCAATTGCTTAACATTGAAATAAATGCAACTTTTATGTTCAAACATGTCGACAGCACAAATAGTGTTAATAGCTTAAGTCTGCAGTGGGTGAGTGAGTAGGCCTATTATTTTGGGTTTACTGGCTATTTAACTTACCGTAGCCTACTCGTTATAAAAATTGAAACCTTTGTAAATTTAAACGTAATTCAAAAAACCATATTAATCCAGTAGCTAGTCAGGGCCCCCTTGATTAATTTGATACTTTTCATCCCACTTAGGTAGGCTAGATGAATTAATTTATTTTTATCTTACTTTTAAGTAGGTAATCCGGTTTGAGAATTGGTTTCATTTAGGCCTAACTGATTTCGTTTGGTTTCCATTATAACCCAAATGTTGGCTTAGGTAGAGCTCACGTAAAACCATCATTTAAATAAATAATATCAATAGCTTACGATTAACCTTTTGAGACCCCAAAGGCAGATAACTTATATGCCAACAATAAAGTGACCTATATACGACTTACAAAATCTAAGTTATGCAAGTTTTACCCTGAGAGTAAACGGGTTTATAAACACTTCTATGCTTGGGCTCTTTGTTAACCAGTCTCCCAGCCAAGAAAGAGCATTATAGATTAAAGGTTTGTATCCAGGCTAATTAAGGTCTTTGCGTACCTCATGAGGAGTTTCCTCTCTGAAGCAGACATTAGTAAAAGGACGACAGAGACGGAAGTTGAGCGTGGATGCTTTATTTTTGAGTTGCATTTCAAATAAATTTTCTAAAGTTAAATATCTTGTACGTTATCTGATGTGCCTTTTTCGTTTAAAAATAATTTAGATAGTAGGCCTAGATTATGTGTCCATGAGATTAGGGGGAAAATTAAAATTACACATGTAAATAAACCAATGAAAAACCTCTGAGGCTCAAAAAGTAAAAACACTAAATGATAGATTATGAACCAAAACAAATATTGTCAGTTAGGTCTAATTAGTGTCAACAATTTAACCCCATAACAATTTACCATCCTAGGCCTCTTAACACTAAGAACTGAGATTAAATTAAGTTAACCTAACTTAAGTTATTTAGCCTAGATGTTAAAGTTGAAATCAGGCAATATTCTTATTTTTCCTACAATGTATGAAATTTCCATAAATAATATGAATGAACCCAACATCAGATTATTACTTCGCTTAAAGTAATAATTCACTTAAGTTGTAGAATACAACTATAACCTAGACTAGGCATAGGACTTACCAGTTGCCAGATCCCACAATACAAACCTTCTTTTTCTCAGACATATTTTATGGATATGCAGTTACAAAAACAGTGCAAAGATGAAGTTGAGCAAATACAACACGAAAAACAATCCGAAAACTGTCTAAACGTATCAATTGAAAATGCTAATATGCCAAGGCTAGTTAATCTTTAAAGAGAAACAGAAAGAGTAACAGAACGCGGTTTTATTATGACATTGGGCAGACGACTCTACAGTTTAGCCAACTACAAAAACAACAAAAGCAAATAGATAGTTAAGTAGAGTAAATGTAGAAAATACCCTATAATATATCAATGAGTACGTGTAAAAATGCACTCTGTTAAGATCCATAATTTCTACTATAAATCCGTTAAAAGCCAAATTTTGGTAAATCAGTCATCGCTAAACATCTAAATTACGTCTGGTTAATTAATTCCTATAAATAAACTATACGCAAACACCTCAGTGCCAAATAATAAACGGCAAAACTCTTCAACATAAAAAAAGGTTTGGAGAACGAAACAGTAAAAATTCACCAATAAAAGTTACCGATACTGACTATTATTTTATGCAAGAGTTATAAATTATATACCTTTAGTTAGTCACCAAATAATTAAAATAAAATACTAATGGATAGCGTTGTTTATGGATTGCGTTTATTTATTTATTTTTCTTCTCGGCAAACAAATTTTACAAAGAAAACAGTTGTCTACTCTTATAAACCCTTGGTATTATGACACTGTGATAATAATAACTGGAGTAACCACTCTGTGTTTTAAAAACGTACCACTGTTTTTGCTAATTTTGTTTCAGAGTTTTGTGTTGTTAGGTTGGCCAGGTGATCGGTTGGTGGGACTTGTCAAATTAGAGGCAAGATCAAAATGACGTCATCCTGTTGTTTTGTTGATAGTAAACAAAAATATGTCAACATTATGGTTGCAATATAAGTTTATTTATTTATTTTATGAGCAACCCATTTTAACTAGATCATAAACCGATGGTCTTTCTTAATCAAATGCCATAGGGCTAAACCTAAGACTAAACCAATATCTCCAAAACCGGGAAACTTGACTATTTTCACCATAAATCATAGCTTGAAAAGAGGTAGATAAGTTAGTATTTATGAAAAACAATTTATAATATTTCGTAACATTCTCAATATATTCGTAATATTCTCAAGAGAGTGTACGGTCCGGATTTTTACCCCCGGAATTTTACCCCCCGGATTTTTACCCCCGGAATTTTACCCCCTGGCCAGATATATAAATTAGTGAGAATGATTAATTATCTTCATTCCGTTTTCGTTTAATTTTTTAATTTTATTATTAAGTAGCATTATATTAATTTATTGGAAACATTATCTAATCGAACAGGTTTTTAATTTTAATTTTGAGATTCTAGTAGGCCCCTATTAGGATTCGATCTTTAAAGCCAACAGTTGGTTAATATGACGTATAAACAATCAACTGACTGATAATTGTTTCGAACATTTCTTTACAAAATAAATAAATAAAGAAGATAGGTAGGCTACTAAATAATGAAAATGTTTACAATTAATTAAAAACAGAAATAAGAAAATCAATCATTCAATTTCTAAAATCTTCCAGGGGGTTCAATTCCGGGGGATAAAATTCCGGGGGGTAAAAATCCGGGGGTAAAAATCGGAGGTAAAATTCCGGGGGTAAAAATCCGGGGGTAAAATTCCGGGAGTAAAAATCCGGGGATAAATATTCTGGCACGTACATCTTTAGTTGTCTAAGCGCTAGTTATATGGACAGGGGGTAAAATTCTGGGTTTTTTCGCTAATCTAATTAATTACGATCTGGCTATTTTCATTAGACTTCCAAATCCGCGGGGGTAACATTCTGGCCGCGAACAAACCTTTGGCCTCAGGTTACTACGTCATAGTGACGTCCGTTTTGCCCAGGGGGATAAAATTCCGGCGACCCCCGGCACTAAGAATTAAGGTTTTAGACTGCTATTGCCATTATAGTCCTCGCCACCCTAAGTTGAGGCAGCCCAAGGCCGCACGGCGTACCTCTAGGGTGAGCGAAATATCATACAGAGCAGAGCAGGTATGATGACGTCATTGTTCATACGATCGATAGCTAAGCTAGTCTTTCGATGTGGTTAGTTGGTGCTCGATAGTTTTAGTTTGTTGTTATCGAATAAGTTATAGCAGCTTTGCATTGCATTTGCATCGTACCGTACTGTACCTTTCCTGTAAATGAAAATAGCTTTTAGGAAATATAAATAAATAAATATCCCAGATAGCACGTAAGCTTGATTCAAGCCTTGAATTACGCTTGCTTTTACTTGAAATGACAGCTTTGATTTGTCACTTTAGATTCAAACTCGAGTCAAATGTCAACTTCGTGTAACACACTTGAATTACGCTTACAGTGGATTGAATTAACAGCTTTGAAATGTCACATTAGATTCAAACTGGATTCGAGTATACACATCACACTACTATTACGCTTGCATTTGCTTGTATTAACAGCTTTGAATTATCACATGAGATTCGAATCCGAGTCGAGTGTAATATTACCCACAATGCACTTCCATTACGCTTACGTTGGTTTGAAATTACAGCTTTTAAGTATCACGTTGGATTCGAATTGGAATCGAGTGTAAGTTACCCATAATTCCGAGTGGGAACGACGCTAACGGTGGGACCGACACTTGAAGACGCCATCGGCCATATTGCTTTGTTTTGTTTATTGTGTATTTGTGAGTGATTCATTCTCAATCTCTCTCATCGAGTTGAGAATATCGATATTGTGGTGCTGAGTTGTTCAAGTTATTATATTATATTGTTAAAGCTGATTTTTTATTAAGTTTCATCTAGGCCTATTTCTTCTTATCCATCAAGGTAAGTTCTTATTAGCACAAACTAAGTAAACTCAAGGATTGTGACTAACAAAATCAAATCGTCTTAAGTTAATTACAAGAATAGCCTGGGAAAAAATTAAGTAAACTAGCTCAAAATCAGTGAAAATTTTGAAAGAGCCAAGTAAGTTATAGCCTAAAGCACAGAAAACGTACTACTGTACTATAACCCAGAATTCCAACCGCATGGTAAAAAGCATTAAGCGGTTTGAGAGAGCTTTGCCTGTCAATCCGTAGGTAGCGCCACCAGCGTTGCTATGCTATTGCATGGCAACACTTGTGGCGCTGCCTACGGATTGACAGGCAAAGCTCTCTCAAACCGCTTAATGCTTTTTAACGTGCGGTTGGCATTCTGGGTTATAGTAGTACGTTTAAAGCCAGCCACTTTTGAGTTGGTAAGCCTACGTGCAATGAGTAGCCTAGCCTAAAAAATAAATGTTGTCAACTTATCGGCCTAACTTTGAGTTGTTTGTATGCATAAAAACACATTTTTTTTACCAGCTTGGATATCAAGTTCTCCATGTAAGATACTTAGGTATTGTGGTACTGGTATGGTCTAACTTAGGCCTAGGCATTGTCTTCACTGTTCATAGTATAGACTATGGTACGTTATAGCCGAGATTAGCCATAATGGGCCTAAGTTACGTTGTAGACTATTCTATAAAGCTGGGTTTTTCTAGGCGGGGAGAGAGTAGCGTGGAGAGTGAACTCTTCTTGTCTTAAATAGTTTAATGTTACCGGTACTGTTTTCCTAGGAAGCAGAGCGGAATGCCATGTTAATCGATTTTCCGCTCTCCGCGCTCCTCTTCCGCGTCTAGGAAAACCCGGCTTTAGACTTAACTTAATGCCATATTTTATACCCTGATATTTTAATGTGTAGGTAACTTATAACTTAGGGCTAGGGACTTAAAGCTAAATTACTTCAGTAGCCTACTCGATAAAGTATTTAAGCAGCTACTTTGTTAGTGACACTGTCAGATAAAATGCAGTAACCTACGTTTAATCGCAGTAAGAGTCTGGTCAGCTTTCAGGCGAATAGTTTCTGATATAGGTAGGCTACAAAATTTCTTCTCCATTAAACTAAAATTGGCATTAAGTTAGGTTAACTTACTTTGATTTAGTTCACTTAACTTAAGGCCTATTTTGCTTGGAGCGACTGTAGCGATAGTCGCACAGCGATTATCGCTCAGTTACTATCGCTGTTACGGCGACCGTTTTGCTTAGAGCGATTGATTTACGGTCGTCGTACGATTTTTCATCAGCACTCACAATGGTGAGGTCATGAGTGCGTGTTGTAACTTTTTATACTATCTCCTCAGGGAGGAGTTAGAAGACGAGGCCCTACTTGACCCTAGGGGAAGTATCAATAGACGATCGATAGAAAATACATAGTGATAGGATAGGATAGGAGTGAGTGATAGGGTTTGGAACGGATACGTGTCACTAGATGTCATTATTTAGGATATAAATAGAAAACTGTAGGCTAGTTTAAGCTACGTGTACTGATTAAAATCAAAATTAAGAAAAATGCAAAGGAACCTAAACCTAAATAAATAAGTAGGCTAGGTTATTTATTTAGGTTTAAGTTTTTTTGCATATTTCTTAATCTTAATCCTTTAGCCTATAGCAAAATAGGCTAGTATAATATAATCTTACTAATATTATAAATGTGAAAGTTTGTGTGTTTGTTTGTTTGTTTGAAATTCAATCACGCATTAAGTAACTACTGGTATTAAGTAACTGCAATAAGCATTTTATACTTACACGCCAACCCCGTACATAGGACGGGTACTCTGCTAGTATACAATACATATAAAAATAAATTTGATTAAAATGTCTTTCGTGGACCCTACAAAAAATGCTTGCGGACCACACCTTGAGAAACTCTGACCTAAGTCAAACTTAATAATTTACATCGAATGAAACATTTTAATCTGAGTCAAACATTTAAAGTTATAACTTTACTTAAGTATTTTATGGGAAAATAACATAATCCTAACTTAACTTAAGTTAATATTTTAAGGTTACCTAAGTTAAAAGTTGCATCTGATGATATAAAATAGGCCTTTTGTAGGTTTATTGCAGAACTGTACCTGGGTGTTTTACCATAAATAATATAAATATTTTATAACTAAAATAACTTAGGTCTATGCTTAAGTTTCACAGGTTATGTAATAAAGATCTTCTAAATAAAGTTATACACATCGGCCTACAGCTGGATTATTTTTAACCAGAAGCGGTTAAGATAGGCACTGTAGGGGTGGCACAATTTTTATTTCACCTGCGGAATTTTAATACGGACAAA